GTTTCTGTCTTTTTAAAATGATAATATTCAACTTACGCACAGAGCAATTTTCTGCAAGATGGACATTTGGAAATCCTAATCGAAGGTGGGTGGTTAGAGTAGCCAAAAATGTAGTACTGTTACCTGAAATCTATCTAACCCAAGTAGAAGTACATAGTAGAAATTACTGTATAATTTCTTAAAGGAATTGTGTGTAAAATTTAGATTTTAAATTCCATAAAAATAACTGTGTGTGTGTCATGTTGAAATCAAATAGAGCTTTTACTGATGACAATTCAAATGCTGATTTATTCTTGAAATTACAAGCACACTGGGCATGATGGACAAGTTCTTTTTAAAAACAATATGGTGTTTTGGTTCTCATTATAATTCTCCAATCAGAAAGCAGACTGCGCCTCACATGACTCTTTCATTTGGGTTGCCAGTTTCAATGCTGAAGTTTTTTTCTTTAAACCTAAAACGCCTTTCTCTGATCTGAATGGTCACTCCCTAAACCCCAGGGAGGGAATTCTGGAGGATGTGAGCTTTCACATGAGGCCTGTCCAGGTGTCTGCAGGTGAAGACAGGCTGCACGTCTAGATGAGTATGTGTAAAATATTAAATTAGGTTATTGACTGCAAATAAATATTATATCTAGTAAATAGAGCTCTTGTGTAATTTCTCACAGCCCGTGTGTGTTTGTGTGTGTGACATATGTGCTCCACACACTTCATCCAGCTCCATACACCTCCACATGATTCTAATATTTCCTGTTGTACTGAGTAGCCAGACATGAACTCATAAACAGACTAGAGCTAACGAGTCACTGCCCTCTGCTGGTGGGAACATGTATTACTACCACAGATCATTAACCATTTGAGTGTTTCTCTGAATAAGAACTCTCTCATTATTGCTAAACTACTTTGATTATGCTTTTCTCTAATGGCCAGTGTTGGGAAGGTGACTTTTAAAATGTATTCCCCTACAGATTACAGATTACATATCCCAAAATGTAGTTTGTAACGTAATTCATTAAATTACTTAAAGTAAGTAATGTAATTTGAATACTTTGAATTACTTGATTTGCTGTAGAGAAGCAAAGACCAGGAAATCTTCACATAAGATGTTTCGTCTGCTAAAAGTATTAAAAATATTATTGATAGAAGAGGAGGAGACATGGTCCACGCAGCATGATGTAGTCCTGTTAAATCCTGGTTTAGACCTGGTTTAGTCCTGGTTTAGTCCTGGTTAATCCTGGTTTAGTCCTGGTTTAGACCTGGTTTGGACCTGGCAATGAGTGGAATTACCAAACAAAAAAAGAAAAAAAAGGGGAATAGCCCAAAATGTGAAAACAAGAAAATGCTGCCATGTAATCCATTTATTTCAACCAAGTAACAGTAATCCAATTACCACTCACTGAAACTGTAACTGTAACTGAATACAGTTACTCATAAATTGTACTCTGATTACATAACTCCGATACATGTAATCTGTTACTCCCCAACACTACTAATAGCTAATGTAAATGTATATTCCTGGATTGGACCTCAAAATATTCTATCTTCAATAATATTTCATCCAGATGGGAGCAGCTAAATGTACACTGTTCAAATACAGATTTGTGTTGTAATACAGTGAGATCTTTGGTCTAGTCTCTGATCGAAATGATCAGATTCAATATTTGTGAATTTACCTTTTGGAGATTTCATGGGAAAGTACAATGTGATCGAACCAGTGGCTCTGTTACTCAAGTTTAAGACTTTAATCTGAGCTTCGTTTTAAAACAATCTGACCAGAAAGAACATACTTAGTTCGGACTACAACAGGTGATGTGTGCTGTTAAACAAGTCCGTCTCAAATAAAATTGCAGTCACAAGTTTGACTCTTAAACAACTCTTAAACGCTCGTATTGATCACAGGCTTCTGAAAATGTGACGCTTAAATTCGTTTTGTGTTCGCTCTTGAGTTTCAGAACAGTTTTAAAACTTTTTGGCTGTGTTTGCCAATGTGTACTTTGTGTCACCATGGTAAATGATGAACATTGCACCGTAGATATACATGCAGAACACCCCCAGCGTCGTGATATCACTGCAGATCAAGAGGGAAGTCTGTCTCTGCCCCCATCTGAAAGTTTGACATCACATTAGAATCTGAAAACCACTAGTTTCACTGTAACAGGCAGGACAGTTTCAGTTGTGTGTTTCAGTTGCGTCTGAATTTGTGGAATAATCACATGTTAGTACAGAGCAGTGGGCGGTGATGAGGGATTGACAGCAGCAGTTTTCTGAGCACTCATGCCCCAAATGAAGGACAAACAGAATCATGTAAACAAATGAACTGACGATGAGGGAACACTGTTAAAAACTTATATGATTCAACATGACTTTACGTAACACGTCCTCTATCTGTATTCAGACCACACTCAGTCAAAATAAACTCACCATGCAGTATGTATGTGAGTGTGTCTGCTTCACTTTACTTCAATAATTCATGTACTACAGCAGGCTAAATCTGCTACAGCCTTTTTATAGTTTCCGTCAGACAAGAATACCACTGTACAAACTTCTATTTCTGATGAGTCTTTAGTTTAGCATGGACCGTACCTACTCTGTGTACATGTTTGTGTCAATGGAGCCTGCACTCTTACAGATTTAAAAAAGGTCCTACAATCACCAGGGATGGGCACGATTAGTCGATTAATCGATAATTGATCATTAAGAATTTCAACGATTACGTTCATTTTAAATCGACAAACCGAATGTAGGTTGCTGTGCGTAGTGTAGTGTGACCAAACAGGTGTGTACATGTGTCTCTGCATCAGAAGGAGCGAGACACAAACAGTGGGTCAGTCTGCAACGTACTGAAGCACAAATGTGTATTTAACGATGATTTGTACAAGAAATTCCACGCTTTCCGTTGCGTTCGGGACAAGTGTGAGTCCATGTGCACAGTGTACAAAGCAGCACATATGTTTCAGTGTCCAGTGGGAAAAAGTTTTACCAGGTGAGAGTCGCTCAATGTGGATGACGAGTCCCGACCTCCCTCCCCCTGTACGGTGTCCTGGTTTTAACAAACACAAATCTGGTCACACTAACCTGTATTCCACTGAGTCATGTCTTTTAATCCAACAGAAGTTGAACCGCATCAGCGACACAAGAGCTGTAGTTTTATCTTCGCTGAGTTTATGCAAATTAACAATGCGGTTTTAAGTTTTGTTTCTGTGAGAGTTGAACAAAACTGAATTAAACACATTATAATGTCAAACGGACTGATGTGGCTCTAGAGTCGTTACAGTTTATATGTTGTAAAGTTGAATTGATTTATGTAGATTAGTGCAGATAGTAATAATAATAATGATAATTTTAATATAAAAACGTTAATGATTAATCGATAATCGATCGTTAATTCTTCCGATGATCGTTTAAGAAAATTTCATCGAATGCCCATCCCTGTCACAGTCACTGAACATGTGTCTCCAGAGACTTCACCTGCAGATAGAGACAAATTCAGGTTTGTCTCATTCTCAGTTTATGTTCAGGCCTCATATGAAGATCTGAACCTCCGGAATTCCCTCCCAGTGCAAGTGCAGAGGCTGCACTAGCACTGACTCATGACTGGTGCAGGTGCTGGGGTTTAGGTAGAGACCATTCAGATCAGAGAGACATTTTAAGTTTAAATCATTATTTGGAGAGTGGCGATGCTTCTGTTGTAGGGAGTATTATTCTGTCCTACAAAGGCAAAAGACTTTTAACTCTCCAGAGTGTGAATCTAAGAAAAATGACTTGAAAGTATTTGTTTTGTCCAGACAAAAGTAGAATAGTTAGGGCTACAAAATCTGACAACTATAATGAAGAAATATTTGTATGTGGAAAAATATTGAGCTCAAAATTGACCTTTGACCTTATTTGTCAGTTCCTGTTCTTTGCACGAAAACTTATTTTTGGCTCATGATACAAAGGCAAAGGCCAAAGACAGAAACTGACATGATCATTATTTGCTTGATTTTCTCCAGACTTCCATCCGTTCTAAGAAAAACCCGTCACCAAGCTCCAGTCATCACGTGTTTGTTTGAAATGATCTAGAAGAGTTTTGGATTTCCTGTTTAGTGTTGATCAGGATCATGCGGCGACACTTACAGTCAAACAGTTTGACACAAGTGACTCTGCAGTACAGTGTGTACAGTATAAATAAATACACACAATACTTTCACATTAAAGATCATTGAAGTATAATTGAATGTGTTCAGACCCTGTGACAAGGTCATAACAAAAAGAAGGAGGCCAGAGTTTGGATTTTAAAATCAAATATATTTATGAACTAAATCAAACCAAACACACACTGTTTCTGCCTTTTGTCTTTGCACGAAAACTTATTTTTGGTTCATGATACAAAGACAGAGAACAGGAACTGACAAATAAGGTCAAAGGTCAATTCTGAGCTCAGTGTTTTTGATTATGTTTATTCCCATGATAAAGAAGGTCTCAAGTGCAAACAAAATGATATGAACTCATGATGTTAGGGCGTTCTGCATTTGTAGGGCAGTATACCTCTCACGACACGTATTGGCCTAGATAACAAGGGCTGAGCTGGCGGTGTAGAGCTGGCACAGCAGTGTAATTTGTCAGGCAGACCCTCCACCAGAAAATGTCCATAATGCACCTTTATGCTCCAGTGTTTTTGTGATTCTGAATAAATCTCCATTAGCTCACATCGTATCTGGGGACACCAGTACTTCAATACTTAAAATAATAAAAATAAAAATAATACAAATATAATTAACCCCATGTGTTTGAAAAATGAGGAGTTTAATTTTTCTTTTACATATAAAAAACACTCACTAACTTCTCCTTTCTGCTTTTGTCTCAGATACATCTTTTAAATATAAATACAATCATTTTTCGACATGTACAAATTTTGGTTGACTAAATCACGAGGGAGGGATGAATGGACTTGACTCCAGACCCTCCAGTGTGTCCATCTGTGACTGTGACTGACCGGAGCTGGACTCTGCTGTGTTTCAGAGGACCTGTCTGACGGAGAGGAGGTCTTCCCAAAGGAGATCACCAAATGGAACTCCAACGACCTGATGGACAAGATGGAGGCGGCGGACACGGAGGACGCTCCTGGTAGGACATGTCCCCTCTGAGCTGCTGTCCTCCTCCTCCTGACGGACACTAACTGTGTGTGTGTGTGTGTCTGTGTGTGTGTGTGTGTGTGTCTGTGTGTGTGTGTGTGTGTGTGTGTGTCGTGTGTGTGTGTGTGTGTGTGTGTGTGTGTGTGTGTCTGTGTGTGTGTGTCTGTGTGTGTGTGTGTGTCTGTGTGTGTGTGTGTGTGTGTCTGTGTGTGTGTGTGTGTGTGTGTGTCTGTGTGTGTGTGTGTGTGTGTGTGTGTGTGTGTGTGTCGTGTGTGTGTGTGTCTGTGTGTGTGTGTGTGTCGTGTGTGTGTGTCTGTGTGTGTGTGTGTCTGTGTGTGTGTGTGTGTGTGTGTCTGTGTGTGTGTGTCTGTGTGTGTGTGTGTGTCTGTGTGTGTGTGTGTCTGTGTGTGTGTGTGTCTGTGTGTGTGTGTGTGTGTCTTGTGTGTGTGTGTGTCTGTGTGTGTGTGTGTGTGTCGTGTGTGTGTGTGTGTCTGTGTGTGTGTGTGTGTGTCTGTGTGTGTGTGTGTGTCTGTGTGTGTGTGTGTGTCTGTGTGTGTGTGTGTGTGTGTGTGTGTGTGTGTGTGTGTCTGTGTGTGTGTGTGTGTGTGTGTGTGTGTGTCGTGTGTGTGTGTGTGTGTGTGTGTGTCTGTGTGTGTGTGTGTCGTGTGTCGTGTGTGTGTGTGTGTGTGTGTGTCTGTGTGTGTGTGTGTGTGTGTGTGTGTGTGTGTGTGTGTGTCGTGTGTGTCTGTGTGTGTGTGTGTGTGTGTCTGTGTGTGTGTGTGTGTGTCTGTGTGTGTCGTGTGTGTGTGTGTGTGTCTGTGTGTGTGTGTGTGTGTGTGTCGTGTGTGTGTCTGTGTGTGTGTGTGTGTGTGTGTGTCTGTGTGTGTGTGTCGTGTGTGTGTGTGTGTGTGTGTCTGTGTGTGTGTGTGTGTCTGTGTGTGTGTGTGTGTGTGTGTGTGTGTGTGTGTGTGTGTGTCGTGTGTGTGTCTGTGTGTGTGTGTGTGTGTGTCTGTGTGTGTGTGTGTGTGTGTGTGTCGTGTGTGTGTGTCGTGTGTGTGTGTGTGTGTGTGTGTGTGTGTGTGTGTGTGTGTGTGTGTGTCTGTGTGTGTGTGTGTGTGTGTGTGTGTGTGTGTGTGTGTGTGTGTGTGTGTGTGTGTGTGTGTGTGTGTGTGTGTGTCCACAGGTGAACTGTTCCAGGAGATGTCTGTGGACTATGAACGCACCATCAGTGAAGAGAGGCTGGACGAGGTGAGATCTGGGCCTGAGCTCTTTGAGAAACATTTGTAATTCTTCTGACAGACACCAGTCAAAAGTTTGGACTTTCTAAATGAAATGAATATAACAATAAACTAGAAGATAAATAAACTCTTATTTTGAGTTTATTTATCCTCTAGTTTCTTTTCTCTGTACCCTGGTTTCCATTTTTGTCATTTCTTGACCCTAAAGTTTCACAACTGTGAAGTGAAAACCATTTCAGGGACTTCATGAAGCTCACTGAGACAAGGCCAAGGGTTTGCAGCTGTCAGCAAAGCAAAGGGTGGCTCCTTCAAGGGTTAGAATATAAAATGTAAAACACACTGTGTCCAAACCTTTGACTGGTAGTGTATTGGGGATTAGATTAGAAATATCTTGTATATGTCGGGATATGACTGAGCCCACCAAGGTTGTGTTTTGTTGTTGTTTTTTTTTTTTAAATAAGTGGTGTTTCTCCTGCTCATGAGTTAGTATTGTGTGCGTATGGCTCAGTCACATGTCTGACAGAGTTACTAAGTCGTTTGTGATCCTGTGCACTTACATGCAGAGGATCCTTGCTACAGCAGGTAGGGCATCTGGAGCCTCTGATGTGAAGTGTTAACAGATGCTCCAGATATAACAAGATATTCCTGTCATGAAACATGTCCCCCCAGTGGCGGTCGGTGTGTGAGTGTGTGTAGGCCGCTGGAGCCTGAGCCTGTATGTCCTCTTGTGTTCAGATGCGTGGCTCTCTTATTGGCCAGGCCGATAGCTCCCCCATTCCCACCATCACAGTAACAGTAAGTACCCCCAGAGGCTCTCGAGGCCTGCCCAGACTGACCCTCAAATGTCCCATCGGACCCTCGCCCTGTCCCTGTGTCCCCCTGTCCCCGTGAAGACGTCCAGGTGTGTGTCCTGTGCACATGTGGAGTTTTGGCCCAGTCCCACACAAAACTGCACACTGTGTCCTGTCGACTGTCAGAGGTGGGCTTAGAGTCAGCATACAGGAAGTTACAACCTGGAGTAGTTTCACAGTTTCTAGGTGCACTACTTAACTTTTTATATAGTGGAGGGTCACCTCCATTTCCATAGAGATGTTGCTTTCAAGCAAGTGGCAAAACCAGGCCAAGGCCGACGGTGCAGGTGGCCCTGCTCACACTAACACCTGCATGTGTTTCACCAGGTTTTGAAGCAATGAAAACATCTCTACTTAAATACACACACAGAGTAGATATATTTAATGCCAAACTGTGGAACATTCTGTGCACAGCAAACATTTCTACGGAGACAAGCAGGTGATGGTGTCGAATAAACTGAAGCAGCCTGAGAGTTGTAAGGAGACACATGAGGCTGGAGTTGTAACACAAGAGAAGTTTATTTACATCAGTACAGGACCCAAAGACATGACCCTTCCACACATTGTCCAAAGTCCACTTCAGCCTGAGTGTGCTTTCACTGTAGGAAGTATTGTACCTCTGATGACATGCATTGACCTAGATAACACATGCTCCACTGTGGCTCCTGGTACTCCCTGCAGTCTCCCATCCCAGTACTGACCAGACCCAGTCCTGCTTAGCTTCTGAGATCTGATGAGATCAGGCTTTGACAAGGAGCTTTTGCCACTTTGTGGCCACACGTGCAGACACGGCCCAGGGCATGCTCAGACATGGCAGGATTCCCCAGTGCAGTGTTCTCCAGTGGTCCAGTGTTCCTTCCCCTCTGTGATGTTGAACGGTTGTCCCAGTGCAGGTCGACCATGTTCTGTCTCCTGTGCTCCCCTCTTCTCTCCTGTGCTCTCTTCTGCTCTCCTTTTGTCTCTGCTGCTCTCCTCTTTTCTCCTCTGCTCTCCTCTGCTCTCCTCTTGTCTCCTCTGCTCTCCTCTTTCCTCCTCGTCTCTTCTGCTCTCCTCTTGTCTTTTCTGCTCTCCTCTTGCCTCCTCTTGTCTCCTCTGCTCTCCTCTTTTCTCCTCTTGTCTTTTCTGCTCTCCTCTTGCCTCCTCTTGTCTCCTCTGCTCTCCTCTTTTCTCCTCTTGTCTTTTCTGCTCTCCTCTTGTCTCTTCTTGTCTCTTCTGCTCTCCTCTGCTCTCCTCTTTTCTGCTCTCCTCTTGTCTCTTCTGCTCTCCTCTTTTCTCCTCTTGTCTTTTCTGCTCTCCTCTTGTCTCCTCTGCTCTCCTCTTTTCTCCTCTTGTCTTTTCTGCTCTCCTCTTGTCTCTTCTGCTCTCTTCTGCTCTCCTCTTGTCTCTTCTGCTCTCCTCTTGTCTCCTCTTCTCTCCTGTGCTCTCCTCTGGTCTGTTCCATATTCTGTTGTGTGAACATCATGACTCATGATACGACTCAGCCCCAGAATCCTTGGCCTGCCCTTCTGTGAGCATGCTGTCTCTGCTCTCATTATGATAATCTGATTGAGTGTATCCGCATTCTGAAAGACATTCTGTAAGTATTAACTGTGTAACTGTGTTGTTTTGTGACCTCCAGGAGAGCTCTTCACAGCAGTGCCTCCAGCCTTCTAAGATCCACGTGCTGATCCTGGTTCTCCACGGGGGGAACATCCTGGACACTGGAGGAGGGGAGCAGAGCAGCAAACAGGCCGACGTCAACACCATCAGCACAGCCTTCGACGCCGTCATGAGGGTCCATTACCCCGCCGCCCTGGGTCGCATCGCCATCCGCCTGGTGCCCTGCCCGCCCATCTGTGCCGACGCCTTCAATCTGGTCTCCAAGTAAGACACAGGATTTAGGTTGCGCTAGAAGATATATATTTAACTGTCAAAGTGTCAAAGTGCTTGATATCTCAAACTAGTGACCTTAGGATTCCACAACGTGATGTAATGGAGTTAAAGGTTATGAAGTGTTAATGATCAGCTCCTCCAAATCCGAGGCCATGGTTCTCGACCGGAAAAAACCCTAACCCTTACCCTCTTTGGGTGGCCGGAGAGTCCCTGCCTCAAGTGGAGGAGTTCAAGTATCTCGGGGTCTTGTTCTTGAGTGAGGGGAGGATGGAGCGTGAGATTGACAGGTGGATCGGTGCAGCGTCGGCAGTGATGTGGTCGCTGTATCATTGTGATGCGGTCGCTGTATCGGACCGTTGTGGTGATGACGGAGCTGAGCAGAAAGACAAAAGCTCTCGATTTACCGGTCAATCTCCGTTCCTCCTCTCACCTGTGGTCATGAGCTCTGGGTAATGACCCAAAAGACAAGATTGCAGATACAAGCGGTCGAAATGAGTTTCCTCCGCAAGGTGGCCGGGCGCTCCCTCAGAGATAGGGTGAGGAGCATCTGTTCCTGATGCCTCCTGGGTGCCTCCCTCGGGATGTCCCACTGGAGGAGCTGGAGGAAGTGTCTGGGGTGAAGGAAGTCTGGGAGTCCCTACTTAGACTGCTGCCCCCACGACCCGGTGTCAAGGAGAAACAGGGAGGACCCAAAATGCAGGACTGCTTTAAAGTATTTAATAACAAATCCAAAAAAATCCAAAAATCCAAAAAATCCAAAAATAGAACCTAAACTACCATAAAAAAACAACACACTGACAAAGACACAGACAATGGCAATTACAGTGGACCAACAAAGGGCAGAGAAGAACACGGGGTATAAAAGCACACAAACACAGGTGAAGCACGTTAGGGCGAGACAATCAATCAACAGACAGAAAGTCAAACTCAAACTACAAGCAGACAGGACTAATATCAAAATAAAACACCAAGAGCACACAATACTAAAGGAAAAGATCCACCAAAATAAGCAAAAAACAACTACAAAACATGAACCATGACACCCGGCCCTGGATAAGAGGAAGAAAATGGATGGATGAATGTGTTAATGTTGATTACAGTGGAAGATGGTGGTTTAAACGGTTTCAGGTTAAAAATAGCTATAGTTACTTGTATGTTGAAGTGTAGTAAGAAACACTCTGGCTCCATCTCGTGAGTATTTGTATACTGCACCAGGGCTGAGTGGGGTAGGGAGAGCCCTTTACACTTGAAATCAATGGAGAGGTTTTATTCTGTTTTAATGAATAGTTCAAAAACTAGTGTAAAAACACTGAACAAGTGAATGAGTTTCTTTATTTATACTTGGTTTCATACATTATCATTTCAGCTTTTGAAATCTTCTATTCAATTTTTCCCCCTGTATTTGAGTAGAGTACAGTGCAGATATATTATATAAGCAGCTCTTGAGGTCAAAATATGTCGGCTGTGTGCTGTCAGCAATGGCATATAAGGCGTTTTATGTTTCTTGAATTAGGAAGTGCGCTTTGGCATGCTAGTCGATGTTAGTTTTACTTTACTCTAGTCTGGCTTCTGAAAGGGTAAATAACATAAACTCATTGTGGTGAATAATGAAGATGCTCGGACTGCACAAGGAATAACTTTAAAAATGCACCATTTAAAGTTTGGATTTCATGTTTTTAAGGTATAGCACCTTTAATTGCAACTCTTCAGTCTCTGCTTTCACATTCCTTTGCTTTTGACCTTTCACCCTCTCACACACACTGACTCTAATGTTTTGCGTGTTGCAGCCTGAGCCCTTACAGTTACGACGAGGGCTGTCTGTCCAGCAGTCAGGACCACATCCCTCTGGCCGCTCTGCCCCTCCTGGCCACCTCCTCCCCCCCTGTACCAGGACGCCGTGTCCACCGTCATCGCCCGTGCCAACCAGGTCTATGGGGACTTCCTCAAGTCTCTGGATGGAGCCGCCTTCTCTGGACAGGTGCCTCACCGCTTAGTCACTCAGTACTCTTCTGATAGCAGTGATGGAAGAGTACTGCAAATATGTACTCACATTGTTGCATTACCATGACAACACAATATTCTAGAGCAGGGGTCTTCAACATTTTTCATGCCAGGGACCCCCAAACTGATGGAGAGCTGGAGCAGGCACCCCCTACTTATATATATGACATACAATTGTGTTTTATATTGAATTGGGCCTAGTGTCGTGTAAACAGCTGCTCTGTTATTGTACATTCAACCATCAAAGTTGCTTAACAAGTCCAGTCTTATCCTGAAATCCTGAGCTGAATCTAACTCCATCTCCAGTTTAAGCCTCAACTCGTTCCATGACAGAAATAAACCTGAGTCTGACCAAAGCCACTCAGACCTGAAGTTTAAGCTGCACCAGAGCAATGGAGAAACGACACAGAAAATGTGTGACTTTTTTAATGATCTGACTAAACGAGAGACGAGCCACAGCGCATGGACAAGAGTTTGATTTGGGACACAGAACTTTTCCGGTTTCCACCTCCTTTTCTCCCCCTCCTCTCCTGTTCTTCGCCTCCTCTCCCGGTCGCTCCATGGACTAGGGATGTCGTGGTTAGTGAATTTCTCCTGCGGTGCGGTATAGCGGCTCAACACCGTGGTATGCGGTGATACCGCAACACCCCCCACCCCCAGAGTTACAATATTTCCAGCAGCACTGAAAACTCTCGCTGATGATGCACTTGTTGCAGATGCACATTTACCTTGGTTGTCGTGGGGATATAGTGTGTGTGGTGTGGGAGAAGTAACATTTGACATTGGAACAAGTGTCGTTGCATCTCTCCAGATCTCACTGCACCAGGTTGGGTCAGAGTCCTGCACCAGGTCGGGTATCCGCAGACGCAGAGCAGGGTGTCCGCAAAGCGCGATCAGGCAACACTGCGCTTACCTCCATGGTGCACTTGGTGCGGGTCCTTTGGCCTGCAGTCTACGCGGGTGCACTTTAGTCCTGGGTTCGTCCTGGGTTAGTCCGGTGTTAATCCGGGGTTATCACGGGCACAGACGGTAGCGGGTGGAATGTTAACAGGTCTGGGCGGGTGCGGTTCTCTAAAAATTGACCTGTGCAGGACTCTGGGTCGAGCCATGTTGGTCACATGCGATTATCACGCTGGCCCAACATGCACCGCGGTGGGCCTCTTAGTACTGCGGTGATCGCGACAGCTCTACCGTGGACAGAGAGGAGGCTGTGGAGTGTGGAGTCTGGTTAATGCGCCCGGGGAATGAAGTTGCCTGACCCGTTCCTGATGCGCAGTCGTACGTGCAGAGCTTAAGTTCCCCTGTGCGTAAAAGTGAAGCTGTAAAGGAACTCGTCACATGTAGCCTAGAAGAAACGATCAATGTTTGCAGTTTGAGGGGATGAAGAGAGAGACAGACGTGATGAAGAGGCACAACCCACTGAAAACCAGTTCCTCCTCATCCTTCAAAACTACAGAAATATTAAAAAGTCTAATCAACTAATTTTGCTACCCCCCTGCAGTACCTCCTTGACATCCCTGTTGAAGACCTCTGTTCCATAATCCATACAGTTTAAAGGGCTGATGGGACATATTTTCTGATCTGTGTTCTAATGTCGTTTCCTCATCACAAACAGACCTGGAGTTGTGTTTGTTTCACTCACACATGTTTAACACACAAACCTGCACATTTAGCATGAGTTCTTCTCTCAAACTAAATCCACTCTGATGTCATGTGGCAATAGAGAAAATGCTCCACTGTGTTTTTAAACTCCATACACATTCATTACAATCATTTTGATCATTTCAGCCCCAGAATGACTGAACTAAAGATAAAAGGAGCTGGTTCCAAGGTGGAACAGAGCATTTTGAGCTTTGGAGATGCAGACAGAGTAATAGTGCAGGATTTGTCAAACGTGTGAATGAAACAAAACACAACTCCAGGTCTGTTTTGTTTTTTTCATTTCAAATCAATTTTATTATGAGTACTGCTGCCAAATTTGTACGTGGGTTGTAGTATATAGTACACATGGAAAATACTATTCAAAGTACTAGATACTGTGTACCTTTTTTAGACAGTTTGTGTTGTGTATTGTGGGTATAGAAAGGAGCAGAGACAGTAGTGAGATAACAGTGCGTAGGACAATAGGGACTTGTGTCATAATAATATGATTTTAAATGTAGCTGATTACAGCATGGCCGGAATTTGACATGATTACAAATAAAAGCATGTTAAAAATCTACTCAGTCAAATACAACTCAAAAAAATGTCCTTGATTACAGTAACGTGATACCCTGTGCCTGTAGGTGTGTCTGATCGGAGACTGTGTGGGGGGCATCCTGGGCTTTGACGCTCTGTGCAGCAGTAACCAGACTGTGAACGAGAGCCAGAACAGCAGCCGCAGAGGCAGTGTGGTCAGTGTGCAGGTACGTCACCGCTGGAGGACTTACTCTGTCTACTTCAGTCTATAATTCATGGGGAAATACACCACCAGTCAAAAGTTTAGATACAACATTTCACATTTTCTATATGTTTACTACATCTGACATTTCCTGTACTGTACATACGAACTATGTAGCAAAGAAAAACCTGTAAATAATTAATATTTTATAACCAAATCCTCAAAGTAGCCCTTTACTTTTTGCTTTGTTCTAAAATATGTAGTTATTTCACTTTCTTCCATATTTTATAATACAGTTTATGCCCAATACAGTCTTCATCGACATAATTGATAAAGATGAAGATGAAGTGATACTGAAATCCAGTTGGTTTAAACTTAAAATACCTCTCTCTGATCTGACTGGTCACTAAAGCCCAGCACCTGCAGCCAGTCAGGACTCAGTGCTCGTGCAGCCTCTACAGCTCATGGAGGGAATTCTGGAGGTTCAGATCTTCACATGAGGCCTGAACATAAACTGAGAATGAGACACACTTGGATGTGTCTCTATCTGCAGGTTAAGGCTTTGGGGACACAGGTTCAGTTTTGATTGTAATACAAACTTTTCCTATTCTCAAAATTGAAAATGTTTTGTTTGTACTGTTGTAGGACCAGGACCTGCTGTCTCCAGGCATCATCGTGAACTGTGGCTCCTCTTCTCCTACACTAGAGGGCAGCAGACACCTGAGCCGCAGTAACATTGACATCCCCCGCACCAGCACGGGCGAGGAGAAGAAGCCCCTCACCCGTAAGAGGAGCGACTCCTCCACCTACGAGCTGGACACCATCAAGCAGCACCACGCCTTCCTCTCCAGGTGCGGCGGGCAGCTGGAATATACAAGAACAGTCCTCTCCTTCGTACTGTCAGGCCTTATGACTGAGGATTTCTAAGTCTGACTTGTGCTAAATGTTCAGTTAAGTGGTAGTTTGTGAAGAATAGTTGTTAAAAAAAAAAGTAAGTAGTGTTAGGTTCTAAGAAGGAATCCCTCTTTTTGTCATCAATACACAAAATTCCATCCAAAATCCAGAACAAATGTACAAATTTTATTTTTCTGACTTCTTAAAGCGGGACGAAACACCTAAACTCTTCCCACAACCACATTTACAATGGAACTGCCAACTTGGACTAAAGTGGAGAGTGAGGGGGTCTGGAGGTATAAGGGACAGTGTCTAACAGGTATCCAAAAGGAAGGCATTTCTGTAGGAAAATATTTCTCTGACTGTTTAGACATTTGACAAAATATAGGTGTATTTCTGTTTGTCAAATAATTTCTACAGTGTTAATTAGTTGAATTACCTCTAAACTTTACATCTGAATGAGGTGACATATTTAGTAAAATCCTAAACAAAATGATGTACAGCACATTTTAGTGAAAGGAGTAGTCTAAGCTGTCATTTCCACTGTGTGCCTGAGTATATAAAGTGCTCTGTGTTTCCTCCTTGTCTTCATGCTCTGCTTGTGTTGTGTGTTGTGTGGTGTTGTGTTGTGTTGTGTTGTACAGTCTCCACTCCAGTGTGCTGCGCAGTGATGGTGTCTCCCGGCGCTCCAGCAGCAGTACCATGCTGGACGGAACCGCTCTGGGCAAGTTTGACTTCGAGGTCACAGACTTCTTCCTGTTTGGCTCTCCCCTCGGGCTGGTGCTGGCGCTGCGCAAAACTGTCATTCCTATGCTGGACGGTAAGACCCAAACATAGTATTGAGCAGAATACTGAATACTTGCACTGAAATGTGTTTTTGTGTTGTAGCCCGTTGCATGGCCCAATCAAAGTACTGATAATAACACAGCAGAATATTCTAGAACGTCACATAGGATTAAAACAGCTTTGTTTGTTATGCATTTATTTATCACTGATTAGAGAGGGAAATAAGCGTGAGCACCACAAGAGCATTCTTACTTTTGTCTGCAGTTCAAAGTCTAAATTCATGATCCCCAATGTAGTAACTGTAATCTGAAGCAGCACAGTTACTCCAGATGAGTATTTGAATATTTATTTTGGCTTCATGTGTTTAATTACTTCCCAACACTGAGTACTGTGTCACCTTGCTTAATGTGATTGTTAGACTGTTGACAGTGAGCTAAAACTCCATTCAGACTTGACTCTAGTCTTTGACCTGGTGTCTGTCTCATGTGAGCAGTGGCTCAGCTGCGCCCGGCCTGTCAGCAGGTTTATAACCTGTTCCACCCGGCCGACCCCTCGGCCTCTCGCCTGGAGCCTCTGCTGGAGAAGAAGTTCCACCTCCTGCCCCCCTTCAACGTGCCCCGCTACCAGCGCTTCCCCCTGGGAGACGGCAACTCCGCTCTGCTGGGTAAGTCCAGGCTGCTCAAGGCCTCACACACACCACCAGGACTCTGTGTATGATTTTAAAAAGAGTCAAATACATATATGATTAAAAACTGTATTTTCAGACATTCCCTGGTAAACTGTACACGTCTCACTTTTTTAGCCATATTTTCTAAAGTACAAAGTATAGCTGCATTTCACTATGTATTCAGTGTTGGCTGAATGCTGTTTTAGTACACTGCAGCCTAGTTATGATGTTAAAGTGCATATGACATGATATGAGCTTTTCATGTGTTTCTAATTCTATTTAGGTTTGGTGGGATAGTACCTGTGCTAAATATTTATCATAGTTTTACATCACTTAAGTGACAAAGTAAAAAAAGTCCAGGAAGCGCTGAGAACTGAATCCCTCTGCCTTTGTCGACAGTACGCAAAATTTCATCCAAAATACATTTATGTTGAAAGAACAAACTGTGGCAGTGGAATCATTTGTTTTACAAATGAAGGTGTAGCCTTCTCATTTATATTTGTCACAGCATATTAACATTATGGTTGTTAGATCATATGAAGTAGTGAAATGATTCTACATGTCGTATCTGCTGCGTATGTGCCTCTGTACCTGCCTGATCTGGTCAGCTCTCATCTGCTCATCAGGTCTGGGTCTGGGCACTACTTGGATGGCAATTCCAGGTACCACAGTGGAGCAACAGTGGCAAAACTGTTGTTGTGTCCTTAGGCAAGGCACTTCACCCATATTGCCTAGTGAACTTGGTGTGTGTGAGTGTCGGTGGTGGTCAGAGGGGCCCATGGTGCAGATTAGCAGCCTTGCTTCTGTCAGTCTGCCCCAGGGCAGCTGTGGCTACAGTAGTATCTAACCTGCAGCTAGTGTGGTGATCGAAGAATGTAGTAAAGTGCTTTGGGTGCTAGTGCTGTATAAATCCAATGCATCATTATAAACATCACCAAAAATGTGAGTAAAATGTTAAATATTTGTTAATATAAGTTCTATATGTTAATATGAAATATTCATGAGTAAATGTAGAGAAGTGTAGTGTCATCTGTCATATGCACTTTACATTGAGCTTCACTGTTATGGCTTAAGACCTACTTGTGTTTGGTCTGGTTCAGAGCGACACCAGAGATCCCCACAGCCTCAGTGCGTGTGTAGTCATGTGCTACTACTAACTACTATTACTGCTACTTTAATGTTTACTTCTATACCCAGCTTTATAAGAGTACTATAGACAAAAGTATTGAACCACAAGTACTGCAGTAGTCATGGCTGTTTGAAGGAGCGGCACTGACCAATAGCATATCCCTGTCACTGTCCTTCCTCACGAGTCTCTGTGTCTCCCCCGCGCTCCTCTGCCCCCTAGTGGAGACAGTGCAGAGCCACGCCCCCCTGCTGCTGGACAGTGGACCCTCGCTGTCCCTGCGCTGTCCGGAGACCATCAGTGAGACGTGCATCCCAGTGCCCGTGCTCAGCTGGCAGGACGGCCTCCTCAAAGCCACGCCCACCACCCTGGAGTGTGTGTAGCCTCGTCCAATCAGCTGCCTTCGTCCCCTTTGTCCCTCTGAACGTGGAGATGCTTGGGTGCAGTGTTGTGTGCGTCAGTATTCCCATGGCTCCAAACTAGTCCAAAACTGACTTTAGTCCAAAAGCTAGTAAAAGATTCATCTGACTGTCTTCAAAATGTGAAAAACAGACCTCATTAAGAGCATCTTAATTATTCACCATGATGAGTTTATGTGTGCATCTTATTCCTTTTAAAGACCAGAGTGAAGTTGCAATACAATATACTGTATCTGTGTGTGGGACAACACACTTTTTTTGCTCAAATACATAGAGACAAAGATGTGGTCCAGGACCTTTAAGTGTGTCTCCACGTTCATCATGTCTGCTCAGATTAGACATGTGTCCTGCCTGTGGTGTTGCTCTTGAGCCATGGAAATACAGCGTCTCCATTTTGTGCTTGTGTCCCATTGAGTTGTGTCTGTTCATCATGTTCAGAATGACCCCATGAGTTAGGCTTCTGCTGTGACCTTTGACCTGTGGTGTGAGCTAACACTGACCACGGCTCAGAGTTCCTACAGAACACAGCCGCACATTCTGACCTCAGGACTGTCACTGTGGACATGTGTGCATCTGCATTTTCTGTTGTCCTTTGCTTGTGTCCTTGATCCAAATCTACAGGACAGCTCAGTGTCCCTGTGTCTCTGAGCAGGCCTGTGATTGGACGTTTGTGTCCTGTCCTCTGTGGACGTGTGTCTAACATGATCTCTGTTTGGACCAATAGCAGACGTTGTTCAGTCTCATGGTGGTGTCTTCATGGACAGTTCGTACCCCTCGTCCCCCATCACGGGGCCCCTGTCCCGGGGCCAGCGGAGGGCCAGTGAGGTCAGCATTGCCAGCCAGGTCTCAGGAATGGCAGACAGTTACACTGCCACCAACATAGCCAACAGTAAGTGTCCACCGCAGCACTGCCTCCACTCTGCACACACATGTGTCCCAGCACTAAGGGACAGGGACATGTCCTCCACTCTGCACACACATGTGTCCCAGCACTAAGGGACAGGGACATGTCCTCCACTCTGCACACACATGTGTCCCAGCACTAAGGGACAGGGACATGTCCTCCACTATGCACATACATGTGTCCCAGCACTAAGGGACAGGGACATGTCCTCCACTTTGCACATACATGTGTCCCAGCACTAAGGGACAGGGACATGTCCTCCACTATGCAAGCACATATGTCTCATATTAAAGGACAGGGACATGTCCTCAACTATGCACGCACATATGTCTCATATTAAAGGACAGGGACATGTCCTCAACTATGCACACCCATATGTCTCATATTAAAGGACAGGGACATGTCCTCAACTATGCACGCACATATGTCTCATATTAAAGGACAGGGACATGTTCTCACTGCATAAACACAGACTCAGGAGGAACAGGGACAACATGTCCTCTGTCTCAAGCTCAGGTTCAGTGGTTTAAAGGGGACATGTCATGCTAAGGACTAGTGTCTCCAGCAGAGTGTTTGAGTTACCTCTTCATTATTGAACTTATGACCAATACCAAAGGCTTCTAAAAGCACTAGGAGTCACTGTATAGTATATATAATCTGTATATAGTACACAGTTTAGTATATAGTGAGTGTGTAGTACTGTATACAGTATAGTATATAGTGAGTGTGTAGTACTGTATACAGTATAGTATCTAGTGAGTATACAGCATCATATGTCCCTGTTGACAAGAGAATGTGTCCAAACAAATAATCAGCTTTGTTTAGACAGTCAGTAAATATAATAGTCATAGTACAACTAGCTCCTCTCTCACTCCTCTCTCACTCCTCTCTCACTCCTCTCTCTCTCTCACTCGTCCCACTCCTCTCTCACTCGTCCCACTCCTCCCTTCCTCACACCCCTCCGCCTGCCCTCCTCTGAAGCCCACTGGACTGGCTGCAGACTTACTCTCTGTCTCCCTCTTGTGGTGGAATGTACCCGCTCCACCTTCACTGTCCTCTGTCTCTATGTAAATGCAATGAAACGATGCATTTCTGCAGTGTCCTGGTGCATGCACACCTCAACTGTGTCTGCATTTCACTTTCTCTGTGTCTTCATCCTGTCAGGAGCACGAGCACGAGTAAAGGACATGTGGCCTTCTCTCTTAGGAACAGTGGTGTGTCTGAGCGATCTTTACCTTTCAACTTCTAACTTTTGGAACTGTTTTGAAGTTTGACCGTTGACCCACGCAGATATCATGGATGCGCTTCCATCCAGTTACTGTATATGTGTCAGATTGTATAGGCCAGAGGAACAGATTGCTGTGTTATTTCTGTTTATGTGATCAGAGCTGTCAATCAACTCGAAACATCCCCGCTGTTCCACAGGGCTGACTCATATGACAAAAAATACATTCCTCAGATTGGTCCTGTTTTTGACATGATGGCAAAGTTGTTTGTTAGTGCATCTGTAGGCCACACCAGGCCTGTGTGGAGCCTGTACTCACTTTTTAATTTTTTTATCACAATTTTAAACAGCTACTACAGTCACAACTGAACCTGCCAGTGCCTTACAGCCATCCATGGTCCCACACGGCAATTCTCCATAAATGTACAAAACAAGGAACAAAATACAATACATCTTCACATACCCCATAGTTGTGTAATTCCTTCTCTTTAACCTGAGTATAGAGGACATACAAGATTTTCTTATTCTCAGTATGTGGACAGGTCATGCCTCATGTGAAAGTATTAAAACTGGCAACTCAAATGAGAGACTCATGTGAGGCTCATTCTGCTTTGTGATTGGAGAATCAAGAACCAAAAGACCAAATAATAACATAAACAACTTGTCCATCATGTCTAATGTTTTTGTAATTAAGAATAATTGAGTATTACAATAGTTCTGAGTAACAGCTCTTTTTGATTTGAAAATATTTACATCGTATCTGGAGGCATCGTTGGGTCCTGCTTATGAAATTGAAATTGAAAATCTTACATACTTTGACAAATGCTTACATCATTTGCTAGGACCTTCCCTCGCAGCAGCCTGAGCCTCTGAACGGTACACTCTGACATCTGACAAAATAGTATTTTGCTGTGTTGTGTTTATCCCCTTTAGCCACAGAAAACAAAATACCCAAGTCTAAAAGCTCCAGTCTGCTGTCCCAACTCGCCCTCACCTCGCAAATGTCCTTCCGCCTGAAAAGCCCTCCCAAGTCCCGCAAGAAGAAACCCGTCCACCATCCAGTCCCAGCCCTGGAGCCAGAGCCGGACCCGGTGCTGGACGGGGAGAGTATGTCCCCTACTGGTGATGGAGAGGAGGAGGAGGGCTGCCAGTCTGCTGGGCTGCAATGTGCCATATGTGAGCTGGTGTCTCTGGACTCTCAGGCCGAAGTGGACCAAGGTATTCTGCAGGAGGAGGCGCTACACTCTGCATGAGAAAACCTACCCTCGCCTCCTGCCAATCTGCCCCACGGGACCTGTGCCCATGGGACCTGTGCCCACGGGACCTGTGCCCACGGGACTAACCATGATTCAGACTCCAAATGTACAAAGGCTTCAGCTGTGCAGAAGGAGCATGTGGCTCTTCACAATCTTTGACTTTGAGCCAGTTAAATCACATTATATGACCTGGTTGTATGGCTGGGGATGACAGGGCATTCAGTTGGCCAGTAGTGCTTGTGATGGGGAGGGTTTGTGGAATAGTGGACGTGCTCATTAAATCCACACTGGCTCCTACAGTCACCACATGTGTCCTCTGTGAGCTGAAGCCTCTCACCTGATCAGGGCCCAGTGCTGAGGGCCTGGGCTGGCTGTGGCTGCTCCTCTGTCCTCTCTAACCTGTGGGTGTCCTGACAGCAGCAGCACGCCTCTGTCCCCTCTGCACTGTCCCTCTGGACTGTTCCTCTTTACTAATCATGACATCTCTCTGACTTTTGACCCCTTCTTTCTGCAGTGGCTGGACAATACTGGGATGGGACGGGATCACTTGAGATTAACGCTCCTCTGAGATTCCTCTTTGCCTCTGTGTAATTCTACTGTGTACTTGTATTTGTACTTGTACTTGTGCTGTGTACTGAGCAGTGCTGTGTGCAGTTGCAGCTCGCTGGTGGGGCACTAAGCGTCTGGACTTTGCCCTGTACTGCCCTGACGCTCTCACCGCCTTCCCCACGGTGGCGCTGCCGCACCTGTTCCACGCCTCGTACTGGGAGTCCACAGACGTGGTGTCCTTCCTGCTCAGACAGGTCAGTGCTGGGACAGTTTTTAGTGGACACTACATGAGCTGCTTCACACTGTGGTCCAGTGCCCCAAACACCATCTGATGGACACCTCCTGGAGGGAGTCTAATAGGGACAAACAGCTTCAGTCTTTCTCACTCATCTATGACATTAGAGTTGTTAGAAATACTGCATGGGCTCTACTGTTAAGTAAGCTCTGCTCTGTGTGAAGCTCTGTTACTCAGGTTAGACTTTAATCTGAGCCTTGCTTTAGCACAGTCTGACCCAAAATAACTGATTTAGCTGGAAGTAAAGCAAGTGAGCTGATTTGTTAAACAAGTCCGTCTCAAATACATTACAGTCACAAGTTCGACTCTTAAACAGGAGCGTGATTGATCACAGGCTTCTGAAAATGTGATGCTCAAATCCATTTTGTGTTTGCTTCTGTGTTCCAGAACAGTTTTAAAACTTTTTTGCAACATTTGTTAATGTGTGTTTTGTACGACCATGGTACCTGTTGAACATTTTACCATATACATACATATAGAACCCCCCAGCGTGAGGTCACTGCAAAGTACATGAATAGTACATTAAATATGACAATAGAAAAGTTACATTGACTACAGCAAGCTGTTAGGTCCACTAAACATCCAGTGGACTAGTTTTGTTTGTGAAAAGATGAGGTGGTGTGTGGGCAGTTTCCACATTGTGGGGACTAAAATCTTTACACATTCATTGATTAAGATTAGAACCAGTTGTCAAAAAAATGGATGTAACTCAATGTCATGTTCCTTAGACGCATGGAAACCCACCGTGTGTGTGCGCGTGTGTGCATGTGTGTGCGTGTGTGCATGTGTGTACATGTGTGCGTGTGTGTGTGCGTGCGTGTGTGTGTATGCAGGTGATGAGGCATGAGAACTCCAGTATCCTGGAGCTGGACGGGAAGGAGGTGTCTGAGTTCACTCCATCCAAACCCCGAGAGAAGTGGCTTCGCAAGAGGACGCACGTCAAGATCAGGGTGAGAGCAGCAGACTCAGGAGGGTACACTTACCATCATGCACAGCACATGTCCTTAAAGAGGGAGTATTCCTTCAAAACAATAAAAGGTGACATGGTGATCTAAGTATGTTATGTGTAAGCAGGTATTACCCCAGAGAAGTCAAATAGCCCCTCTTTAAGGACTTTTATCTGTTCAATGTATTGAGTAAAGGAGGTGTCACAATGTGTCCCTCAAATGTGTTTCTCTCATGTGTCCCCATGTGTCTTCTGGTCCTGGTAGAACGTGACGGCTAACCACCGCATGAACGACGCTGTGTTCCTGGAGGACAGCCCCCAGGTGCTGAGCGGCCGCTTCATGTACGGGCCCCTGGACATGGTCACTCTGGCTGGAGAGAAGGTCTGACCACACCCACATGACATTGTACCATACATCATGTACATACAGACTCTCACTGACCTGTGTGTGCTCAGGTGGACCTGCACATCATGACACAGCCCCCTTCTGGAGAGTGGGTGTACTACAGCACTGAGGTGACCAACAGCAGCGGTCGAGTGTCCTTCACCATTCCAGAAGACAAGCGACTGGGAGTGGGAGTGTACCCGGTCAAAATGGTGGTCAGGTGAGTATTATTATTATCTTAACAGTATGGAGACAGTTCAAGAGGACTAAAGACGTACGTGCTCCTCAGGGGGGACCACACGTTTGCGGACAGCTACCTGACCGTGGTGCCTCGTGGGACAGAGTTTGTGGTGTTCAGTATCGACGGCTCATTTGCAGCCAGTGTGTCCATCATGGGCAGTGACCCTAAAGTGCGCGCGGGGGCAGTGGACGTGGTCAGGTACAGGTGTTCTCTCACTCTTCACGTGGAGAGTCGTGTCAGATTATAATGTGTGTTCTGTGTGAGCAGGCACTGGCAGGACCTGGGCTACATGATCATCTACGTGACGGGTCGTCCGGACATGCAGAAGCAGAGGGTGGTGGCCTGGCTCTCACAGCACAACTTCCCCCACGGCATCGTGTCCTTCTGCGACGGGCTGGTGCACGACCCGCTCAGACACAAGGCCAACTTCCTCAAGGCTCTCACTGAGGTCTGCTCCTCTGTCCCTCTGCTCCTCTGTCCCTCTGCTCCTCTCCTCTCTCCTCTGCCCCTCTGCTCCTCTCCTCTGCCCCTCTGCTCCTCTCCTCTGCCCCTCTGCTCGTCTCCTCTCCTCTGCTAATCTCCTCTTTCCTCTGCTCCTCTCCTCTCCTTTCTCCTCTCTTCTGCTCCTCTCGTCTCTCCTCTGCCCCTCTGCTCCTCTCCTCTCTTCTGCTCCTCTCCTTTCTCCTCTCATCTCTCCTCTCTCCTCTGCTCCTCTCCTCTCTCCTCTGCTCCTCTCCTCTCTCCTCTGTCCCACACAGACACAGGGAGAACCACCACCTTCTCAGTTTAAGTTCATTTCACAATCAGCAGATGTAATTACAGTGAATAATATTAAGACTCAGACACACTGACACTATTTTTGTGATCTTTTAATACTGTTAGCTCATATTTTTGTCTTTACTTTCCTGTTGCCTTAAAACATAGTTAAAGTTACTTTTCCTACACCTGACCCTAACAGTCCTGAACCGTAATGTGAAAAACTCTACATTTGCAGCATAAGCACCGACAGCATGTTATTGTACACAGAATGGTGCTACTGATGCATCAACAGAAGTAAAAAAAAAAAAAAAGCTTCATGTGTTTTTGAACAATTTTAGGTCTAAGTTTGCTTTTGCTATGTCTTTTCAAAAAGTGTTTTAGGCAGCTCAGGTGTAGAGAAAAAACATGTTTATAAGTGAGTTTCACTCTAGCCACGCTACTGTAATGCTCTAAATGTCAGTTCACTGTTAGTTGTGAAAATGACAATAAATCCTTGAATCTGGTCATGGTTAAGTCACACTTCTGGACCAAATGCCAAGCCTTTAGGGAGTTCTCATGACCGTAACCATAGTAACCATAAAACCTCAATAAGCATCATAAGCATGAGTCTAACCCTGTCCTCTGCCTGTGCAGACTCACATGAAGATTTTCGTCGGCTACGGCTCAACCAAAGACATCTCTGTGTACAGTTCCATCGGCCTGCCCCCCTCCCACATCTACATCGTGGGCCGCCCCACCAAGAAGATGCAGCAGCAGTGTCAGGTACTTCATATTGTAATGAAATGAGGAGTGGGGGTTAGTAAATGAGGGCCTTTGTGTTCCATATTGCTGGATATAGTTACTTTTCATGATCATCTCCATTGTTTAGAATCCAGAGAAACCACATTTACATTTTTCTCCCAAATGATGTAATTAAAATTTACTCTAAACTCACTCTGCCAAGTTTTGATATATCTGATATATTATATATCTGATATATTATATATCTGATATATTATATATCTGATATATTATATATCTGATATATTATATATCTGATATATTATATGAGATGTCAAATGAGATTTAGGTCTGTCTCTGTTTCTTTGACATTGTTTCTAATCAGTGAACTCATCCACTGGAAACTCTGACAGTGGATTCAGACAGAGCCCTGTGTGTTTAACAGCTCCTGTTCACACAGTACAGTTCATCACAGAGTGTGTGTGTGTGTGTGTGTGTGTGTGTGTGTGTGTGTGTGTCACAGTACAGTTCATCACAGAGTGTGTGTGTGTGTGTTGTGTGTGTACAGTTCATCACAGATTGTGTGTGTGTACAGTTCATCACAGAGTGTGTGTGTGTTGTGTGTGTACAGTTCATCACAGTGTGTGTGTGTGTGTGTGTGTGTGTGTGTTGTGTGTGTACAGTTCATCACAGAGTGTGTGTGTGTGTGTGTTGTGTGTGTACAGTTCATCACAGAGTGTGTGTGTGTTTGTGTGTACAGTTCATCACAGAGTGTGTGTACAGTTCATCACAGAGAGTGTGTGTGTGTGTGTGTGTGTACAGTTCATCACAGATGTGTACAGTTCATCACAGAGTGTGTGTGTGTGTGTGTGTACAGTTCATCACAGATACAGTTCATCACAGAGTGTGTGTGTGTTGTGTGTGTACAGTTCATCACAGAGTGTGTGTGTGTGTGTGTGTGTGTGTACAGTTCATCACAGATGTTGTGTGTGTACAGTTCATCACAGAGTGTGTGTGTGTTGTGTGTGTACAGTTCATCACAGAGTGTGTGTGTGTTGTGTGTGTACAGTTCATCACAGAGTGTGTGTGTGTGTGTTGTGTGTGTACAGTTCATCACAGAGTGTGTGTGTGTGTGTGTGTGTACAGTTCATCACAGAGTGTGTGTGTGTGTGTTTGTGTGTGTGTGTGTACAGTTACAGTTCATCACAGATGTGTGTGTGTGTGTGTGTTGTGTGTGTACAGTTCATCACAGAGTGTGTGTGTGTGTGTGTGTGTGTGTACAGTTCATCACAGAGTGTGTGTGTGTGTGTGTGTACAGTTCATCACAGAGTGTGTGTGTGTTGTGTGTGTACAGTTCATCACAGTGTGTGTGTGTGTTGTGTGTGTACAGTTCATCACAGAGTGTGTGTGTGTTTGTGTGTGTACAGTTCATCACAGAGGGTTATGCGGCGCACCTGTCTCAGCTGGAGTATTCTCACCGCTCCCGTCCGCCTAAGTCCAGCAGCACACGCATGGTCCTGAGGAAGAGCAGCTTCGGCCTGGGAGCCAACAGTGACTTTCTGAGGAAGAGGAACCACCTACTGCGCACCATCTCCTCCCAGCCCGCCCCCACCTCCCCCACCGCCAACGTGCACAGCCACAACCGGCCCGAGCGCACGCAGAGCCAGTCGGACGGCGAACGCGGCGCTCACTATGGCCACCAGGGGGCCACGCAGCGCAGTATGAGCATCACTGCCAGCTGCTGGGGCAGGAGTACCAGTACCAAGGTGGACCCTGGACTCTTCAGCCCCAAATGATACTGGGACAGACTATGGAGCGGGCGGCCAAAGCTCCAGGACAGTGTGTGGACATGTGAGAGGTGTGAGGGGCCCTGCGGGGTCACCTGTGAGGGGCCCTGCGGGGTCACCTGTGAGGGGCCCTGCGGGGTCACCTGTGGAAGGCCCTCAGGGTCACACCATTCAAACTAATCACTTACCTCAACACAGAGATAGACCTCACTATATATCTATACTGATTTTACAATCCTAACTCTTTATGCTCCTGCCTCTTCAGAGAGAAGACTCATTCAGTGTCGCATTTTAGTGTAAAGATGATTTTGACTATGATTTAGTGTAAATGTGCTGAACTGAGTGTCCAGAGCTGCACACACAGGAGTGTGACAGTCTGAGGCACTGCTCTGTCTGCTGTTCGTGGGCAGCATCATGTGACACATGTGAGCACAGAGGTGTGGGCTAAAGCACAACAGAACTGTGGAAGAGGAGCCTGCCAAATGTGTGAGCCAGTCCAATATAAGCTGCTACTGGATCTGAACGCACCACTCCAACACGACCCTTTAACCCCTGAGGGAGCACTGTCCAAGGCACAGCGCACTACGGTGGCCCTGAAGGACCCATCAGGAGCAAAAATCTGCTTTCGAAAAAGTCAGTTGCACAACTATAACATGAATTCTGACAGAATGACTGCAGAATGCAAAGTGCTGCGGTGTGTGGGGATTGTCCCTCCGGGCCTCCGTAGACCGCTTCCCCATAACCCTGCTGTTTGTGCCAAAGTAAGAGTGTGGAGAGCTGTACAGAGGAGCTGAGGCCTCCAGAACCTTGTACATATGTACTTGTGTACTGTACACAGACCACAGTCAAGTGTCTTCTTAATCCTCTGCAGGATCTGCTCTATGACAAAGTCATGCTATTTAAGACTAGACTTCTATTTAAAGTGTATTGACTTGGTGAACAAATGTGTTTTATTTTTGTCTCTGAAGCCAAACAGGAGACTCGGTTTCCTCATGCTGTTTTCTATCATAAAACTCTAGGCTTAGGACCACTGTATGGAACAATCATCACTTCTGATACATTCAGCGATAGTGACAGTTATCCAAATTTAACTTATTTTAAATGAACTTTATGTAGACTATATATAGATTAGATGTCGGCTCATATTTGCACTGGTATTTATCTCCTGGTATCTAACCAGATTATATTCTGAACATGAGTAAGCCTTCATTGTTCGTGGTGGTCCTAAAGCTCAGCTGTATGAATGTGCTTGTAGAGGACTCCTAGAGGTGTGCTGTTCTGTGTGGGACTGTACAGTGTACAGGCTTTTCTATGTCAATCACACGATGGACCAATCTGCCGCCAGTGTGAGGGCAAACGTGCAATATCTACCCCCGACAACGCTGACAATCACTGCACATGCTCACATCTACTTCTACTGCGCACACACACACACACACACTTCTACTACATATACTTCTACTACACATACTTGTACTGTACACACATACTTCTACTGTACATGCTACTCCATCCATGCTCCTGTACACATAGTGCTGTGCTCATGGTAACACATACTTCTACTGTCCACATGGGAACTGGGTCAGACCTCCAGACCACACGTCCCTTAGTCCTTCTAAAGCCACTCCTCACATCTCACACTCTGGGCTCAGAGCTTTTCTCTCCAGTGTGAAAACTAAAGCCGGCATCAGGATCAGCACACAAACACACACACACAGACACACAGACACAGACACACACACACACACACAGACACAGACACACACAGACACACACACACACACAGACACACACACACAGACACAGACACACACACACAGACACACACACACACAGACACACACACACACGGACACACAGAGAGGAGGCTCTGGACACTGGAGGTTTCGCAGTCTGAAGAAGCAGACGAGACTTTTGGCTTTTGTTCATTTGAATCTGTTGGGTGTCACACTGTGTTTGTGTTTCGATATTTTCTGAATGAAAGTGCCCATGACAGGTGCTCCTTTTATTAAAACACAGTTAAGATCATTACATTTCAGATTTTTGCTATTCATTTTTTTTTTTTTTTCATTTCAAAGTTACAAAATTTCACTTTCTGGTTGGAAATGACATGACATCATCTTAAGGATTTCCATTATTGTTACCACAGACTGTACATCAATTCTTCTTTATACAGTCTATGATTGTTACCTAGCAACCACGTTGACACCAGGTCAAAACTCCTCCAATGTGCACAGAAATATTCATTTGACAAATAAAAGATATAAAATATAAGAAAACACCTTTATTTAGACAGACTGGGAAAAAAAGTGTTTGCTGTGTGTAAAGGAGACGATGAGAGGACAGAATTCTCGATTTCCTGTTATTTTCAACATATTTTTCAACTTCTCAAGTTGGTTCTTGGTTGGTGTAAAAACTATAATTCATATTAACAAAGTTTTATCCCACCAAATGAAGTCAAAATGAGACTCTGAACCTGTCAGATGCACTTTCAATCTCCAAAATCTCCAACAGAAACATCGTGTGGTGTGTCTGTCTCGGTGTAGATAGTACTCAGTTACTTTCACTTATGTAACTTTTAAAACAAACTGCACTTTTCAGAGTACTTTAGCAGCATCCTTTTACTCCTACTTGAGTGATGTTTTGATGAAGTAATAGTACTCTTACTTAAGTAAAAGTTATGGTTTATGTCGACAATCTGAAATGATTTGAACATTTGTGTGTCTTACAAGCGCTCCTTCACAGATAATTTAGTTTGCCTCGTTTTTGTCCTTTGAAAACATCAGATCAGTTACTCATCTACTACTCATGTACTTTTACTTAAGAGTACTAGTAACTTTAAAATATTACTCAAGTAAATTTTCTGGCTAGTCTACCCACCTCTACATTTTACTTGCATAAATACCGAGGACTCAGCATGTCTTCTATACACGACGATGTGGATTTCCCGTCTGCTTTTCCAGATTGGTGAAACATTTCTTTGAGTTTGATCTTTTTAGTCAAATTTGGTCAATGAGAGAATGTGATTTGTGCCCTTGTTGTCGACCCAGACAAAGGCGTTGCTGGCCCAACTCGAATGTAAAATGCCCGTTTAGTTCATGTTCATTCTGAGGCCTTACTCTCCCTCTGCCTTACCCGGTCTATGTGAAAACGCCTCTTCTCCACCAAACCCCGTCGACGCTCGGACCCGGACTCTCCTCGTTGCACTGGTGTGTATGTGGGTGGTATTGGATAAGTTCATTTATCCATCTCTTGTGTTTTCTGTACAGTGTATAAAGACTATATCATACTGAAACGTGTTGGTCTGTTCTGTTTTTTTTTTTTACAAGGTTTTAATGTTCTTGGTCAAAATGAATCCATATATTAAGTCAAACACAAGTACATCATATTAGAAGATACTATCAGTCCAGCATTAAAGTTGTACCATGTAACTTTTCTGCAACTTGCTCGTCTCCATGGAGAATTGCTTGGTACATTTCTACACTTTGGGTTATTACACTTCTGTGCCAACGCAGAACATATTTAGTTACTTTTTATTGTTTTCAAAATGATATTTCCCTCGAAAACAACATATTAACATATTTTAATTTTGGTTTTGGCACTTTGACTTGCTCTTCACCAGTGTTGGGGAGTAAAAGATTACATGTACCGGAGTACAAATTATGAGTAACTGTATTCAGTTACAGTTACTGTTTCAGTGAGTGGTAATTGGATTACACCGCGGTATTTATTTATTTATTTTTTTCTCTGTTATTCCACTTATTGCAAGACACTAAGCCAGGACTAAACCAGGACTAAACCAGGACTAAACCAGGTCTAAACCAGGTCTAAACCAGGTCTAAACCAGGACTAAACCAGGACTAAACCAGACTAAACCTAAACCAGGACTAAACAGGACTAAACCAGGACTAAACCAGGTCTAAACCAGGACTAAACCAGGACTAAACCAGGTCTAAACCAGGACTAAACCAGGTCTAAACCAGGACTAAACCAGGACTAAACCAGGTCTAAACCAGGACTAAACCAGGTCTAAACCAGGACTAAACCAGGACTAAACCAGGTCTAAACCAGGACTAAACCAGGACTAAACCAGGTCTAAACCAGGTCTAAACCAGGTCTAAACCAGGTCTAAACCAGGTCTAAACCAGGACTAAACCAGGTCTAATCCAGGTCTAAAACCAGGTCTAAACCAGGACTAAACCAGGTCTAAAACAGGTCTAAAACAGGATTTAACAGGACTAAATCATGCTGTGTGGACGTGTCTTCTGTTCTTCTATCAATAATATTTTTAATACAGTTAAGTAAAGACTCTGTCTATTCATTTTCTTTTATCAGACAAAACATCTTATGTGAAGATTTCCTCGTCTTTGCTTCTCTACAGCAAATCAAATAATCCAAAGTATTCAGATTACATTACTCACTTTAAGTAAATTAATGGATTATGTTACAAACTACATTTTGGGGTATGTAATCTGTAATCTGTAGGGGAATACATTTTAAAAGTAACCTTCCCAACACTGCTCTTCATGCTGAGTCACTCCCTCTTCAGAGCCACATCACCACAAGCAGCGTGCATCCTGCTGACAAACATGGATCACTTCAGGCATGTTTTAAATGAGGGAACATAATATGGTGGGGAAAAAAGTGCATTTGTACAATGAGCAGACTCTCCTCTCCACAGAACCTGGCCTGGTGGCATTGCCTCTGTCCAGTTCTGCCGTACAGCATCGCAAAAATAACTCAATGGAAACAAGCAGGTGGCAGACCGTCCAAAAAGTACATAATCACCTTTAGAAACACAACTTCAGTAAACAATAAACATCACTGAAATGCTGTAAAATATACTTTCCCCTGTGAGTGATCTCATCTCTTCATTTAATGGACACTTTTCAAGATTAAAGGAACAGTACAGTATTTTCCGGGCTATTAGACACGCTCTTAAGCTTCCAACCCTGTCAAAAAACGACCTCGCCCAACAATCCAGAGCCCCTATACACGAATCCACTCAGGTGTCCCAGCACCACTTCAGTAAACTACAAACACACACCACCCACAGAACACACAAACACACACGGAGCAGACAGCGACCACACAGAGAAACACACCCACAGTCACACTCCACGCCTGACGAGGAACGGAACGGAGGAACGAACCGAAAAAGCGAGTGCAATGTGCCACTTCTAGACACAACTGAACAACTGAGTCACTGCGAACACGCCGACAATCCGTTGGTCCCAGACAGCACCCTCCCTACACGCCACAACTGAACAAAGTCACCCATCACACTGTTGTGTTTCATTTAAAGTCCGGTGTGGTTTATTTGTGAAAAAGATTCAAAAATAGACCATTTAATGACAGTGCGCCTTATAATCCAGAGCGCCTAATAGCCTGGAAAATACGGTATTTTAAGATTTTAAATTCTACAAGCATGAACTGTGCCTCCACATAACAGACATATGTTCAAATCAATTATAATTCTAATGCTGATTCATTCATTGTGTTGCCAGTTTCAATGCTGAAATCCAGCTGGTTTAAACCAAAAAGGCCTCTCTTTCTCTCTCTCTCATTTTGAAAACTGTAAAAGCTCAGGCTAGACAGTTTCTTTAGATGTAAAAAATCATTGACATAACGTGGACACTGACAGAGGTGGACAGATCTCGACTTTGTGCTCCACTCAGCAGAGCCGTAGAGCAGGTCCATCCACACAGTCCAGACAGTTGTGACAGTTGAGTGGTTCAGTGTTTGGCAGCGGCGCCCAGGGACCCGCCGGACGGTCGCCCGCTGGCACTGGCTGCAGGATGATTCAAATGCAGAGGACAGATTTCTCTGCAGGGACAAACACAACACATACAAAGTGATGATGCTGTGCACCAGCAGGAGCAGGCCTCCTCCAGGACACAGAAGAGTCAGGTTTATGGAGATGCAAGCCCCACTCACAGTGAAGAGGACACAAGTTTTTCAGCACAATAAACAAACACACAAAAACCAATAAAACACAACTGTAAAAGTGAATTAAAGTGCATATGACAAGTCCAACTCATTTCATCATTAACATCAATATATTTAAGGTTTTACTAAAAATTATTCTTTTTTTTACTTTTTAAAATGTGACAAAGTGGGACCTTTATCTCATTTTAAATTCACGTTAGTTTATGTTTAACATTATTTATTTTGAAAGGGGACTTGCTTTGGGGAGTTACCTGGATACTCACCTGGGGGGAGGTACTTCCTGTGGGCGGAGTATAAAGCAAAGCAGGTGTCACCAATTAGGGAGACTTCTGTGCAGGTGTTTTGCTTTGAGTTACTTATTTTTTGTCTATTTGTTCTTTTGTGGGTTAACCCCAGAAGTCTGTTTTTAAAATAAATTTTGTCTGCATAAAGACACTTTTCTTTGTGTCATCTGCCTCCTACTTTGACCACTTTGTCCAGCTTCCCCACATAAAATTTAGTGGTTTATATTTTACTTCGTGCACACGGTCAGCAGATGTGACACAGAAGTCATTCTCTTACCTAACCATAAATGACACCATAGTTATGATTAGACTAAGAAAAAGAAAATTACACAATTATTTTGTTAAAATGAAGGTTTAAACTGTCAGAAAATGTCTTGCGTAAAGAGTCTCAGCATTTTGGATTTTGGTTATTAGAGTTTTCTGAGTTGATGACATGGGCAGAGGTTTTAGAATTCAGCACTACTTCTTGTATTTTTGTAGTTTTCTTCAACTTTTTTCCACAAACTGGCACAGATGTAAAACTATGATCAACACTGACCACAGGTGCTGTCCACCGAACCAAGTCAGAATTAGAACAACGTGAAAACCCGTCACATGCACTTTAAAAGATCCAACATTACACAAAACTGACTCTTGTGAGATTTGAGCTTTGTTCACCTGTTGTTCCCTCCTCAAAACACACCTGGAGTTGTGTTTTGTTTCGTTCACACATTTGAGTAACTCTGCTTTATTAGTCCGTCTACATCTCCAAAGCTCAAAATGCTCTGCTCCACCTTGTGATGTCATGAAGTGGTAGTTTTCAAGTGAACTGCTCCTTTTACATTTTGTTCAGAAGAGTTTGTTGACTCCAGGGCTGAAATGATCCAAATGATTCAAGTGAAATTGTGTGGAGTTTAAAAACACAGTGGAGCATTTCCTGTATTACCACATGACATCACAAGGTGGAACTGTGTTTTTTAAGTCTGACAGAAGAACTCAACCTAAATGTGCAAAGTTTGTGTGTTAAACTTGTTTGAATAAAAAAAAACACAACTCTGGGTAAGTTTTGCTGAGAAACAATATAACAGAGAAAACATTCTAATATGAGCTCTATAATATAAACATTATATATCATTATTTAAATATCTTGTACCTGCCCAGTCTCCTCTGGAAGGTGGCCCCGTCCCCGCTGGTGGCCTGCTGTGACACACACACACACACACACACGTGACTGTAAGCACACCGTCTGTGCTCTGAACTGAGGGTTTATGCAGCAAAAGCTTCTCAAACCTTGTTGATTTCTTTGTGTCTTTCCCGACTCACTATTTCCTCAATGATCTCGCCCTCTCCTCTCACCAGCCTGAAAACAGAAGACGAGCACAAAGCAGCACGTCAGCGAGTCACAGCCACTGAAAACGAAAAACTAAACTCAAAACTGAAGCAACCTGAAGAAAACAGAGTGATTTAGTAAAAAATTCCAACTGCCATTTTGACAAGCATTGTGATTTTTTTTTTCTTTTTTTGAATTGCAGAAAACATAGCAACAAGACAAAACATCAGAAGTATATACAGTATAAAGTGCAGATGGGATTGCTGTTGCATCAAGGCAAAGTCCAGTTCACAGTTATGGCAGGACTGAGGGCTGGAACGAACATACGAACATACAAACATAACGAACATACGAACATACAAACAAACATACAACGAACAACATACGAACATACAAACATACAAACGAACATACGAACATACGAACATACAAACATACAAACATACAAAACATACAAACATACGAACATACATAACATACGATACAAACATACAAACATACATACAAACATACAAACATACAAACATACGAACATACAAACATACAAACATACGAACATACGAACATACAAACATACGAACATACAACATACAACATACGAACATACAACATACAAACATACGAACATACAAACATACAAACATACAAACATACAAACATACGAACATACGAACAACATACAAACATACGATACAAACATACAAACATACGAACATACAAACATACGAACATACAAACATACAAACATACAAACATACGAACATACGAACATACGAACATACAAACATACGAACATACATACAACATACGAACATACAAACATACAAACATACAAACATACAAACATACGAACATACGAACATACAACATACAAACATACAAACATACAATACGAACATACGAACATACAAACATACAACATACAAACATACGAACATACATAACGAACATACGAACATACAAACATACAAACGAACATACGAACATACAAACATACAAACATACATAAACGAACATACATACATACAAACATACGAACATACGAACATACAAACATACGAACATACGAACATACAAACATACGAACATATACAACAAAACATAAACATACAACATACAAACAACATACGAACATACGAACATACGAACATACGAACATAAACATACAAACATACGAACATACGAACATACGAACAACATAAACATACATACATACATACAAACATACGAACATACAACATACAAACATACATACGATACATAAAAACATACATAAACATACAACATACGATACATACATACATACGAACATACATACAAACATACGAACATACATACATACATACATACGACCATACATAAAGATGAACATACAAACATACGAACATACATACATACATAAATACGAACATACATAAAGATGAACATACATACATACGAACATACATCCGAAAATATGAACATACATACATACATACGAACATACATATGAACATACATACGAACATACATACATAAACACACACACACACATACGAACATACACACACACATACACACATACATACACACACACATACGAACATACATACATTTTGTTTTTTTTTTTTTTTGCAATTTATCATACAGGAGAGCAGAAAGAAGGAAACCAAAACTAAACAAAAAAAACAAACAAAATAATGTTATAAATTAAATAAACCTATACTATACTTCTTACAGATATTATATGTTTTAACAGCTTTTTTGTGTTGGACCTGTTTTATTGTTTGAAAATATAGTTGGATTTTGATATTATACTGATGAACATTTGGTTTATTTTGAGCCCATTTGGTTTTGTGTATATGATATTTTGCCAGCATCTGAATGAGTCTGAATGAAGAATCTGAGATCTTTGGGATGGAGGGGCTGGTGAAAAAGAACAGGACGTCACTTTCCTGGAGGCTGAGCTCGTGTCTGGTTTTGGTTTGGATGAGTTGTTGTATATGGGTCCAGATGTTTCTACTGTATGTAGAAACATCTGGACCCATATACATTGGTAAAACAGGTGAGTGACTGTTTCTATTTCACTGCGACAGAAGTCACAGTTGTAATTAATCTTTAATTTGAACTTTTCTAAAGTTTTTTTGGCTGGGTAAATATTATGGAGAATTTTGAAATGTTATTTATTTATTAATAAGGGAAGCCCCTTGAGATGTAACATCTTGTTTGCAAGGGGGTCCTAATACATTAACAAAAGTAGCATTTACAGAAGAGAAAGAAAAACAAATCAAAACAGAACAAAAGACAAACAAAGACAACATTCACACAACACACAGACAGCATTCATACTGTACAGTCCAGGATCCTAAGATATACATACATCTCTCTGATTTTATCATCACCACACCTATATTTGTAAATGAGTGGTGAAAAAAAACAACTCTATGTGCAACAGAAAGTACACAGAACAAAAATGTATTTTTATCAAAAACAGGAGCAAGGTGTTTGTAAGTGTCTGAAGACTGATGCCTTAAAATGGTGGGTTGATGTAATTGATCTTATTGAGGAGGGAAAGTTAGTTAAATGCTCTTCGGCCAATTTCTTTTTTGTTATAGGAACATTAAAAAATAATTGTTCAGTGTGACGTAAATGATATGCTGATCTAAATGGAATCAAAAACTCTTTTGAATAGGGTGGGAACTTTGAGTAATAACATTTAAACACAAGTTGCAGAAGGTGTAACTGTCTTCTGGATGTAAGAGAGCCAGTTAAGTGATGAATACATTTGACATTTGACATTGACTTCTTTAATTTTGTTATAAATGCAGAGCCTCTCACCAACCAGCCACGCCCTGCTCCAGTCAATCTCCGCGTGCAATCAATTCCAATATGAAGTTGCTGGGGGTCTGTTTGGAAGTTGAATAATATTTCTGATGTATTTATTCGAACATGTTTTAATTTTAATATTGACCTCTCCCAAATATAGATTGCTATTCATGTTCTGGAGCTGATAATTGAGTTGAGATCCCTGTAACAAATGCAAAGTGCCTTTAAGTTTAGCTTTACACACTTTGATATATTCTGATTGTTTACTTGGAAACTGATAGATGGCTTTAAATTCATCATATGAAAACATTTGTCCTTGTGCATTGATCAGTTGATCAAACCAGGATCTAAAAAATAATGATTTATTGCAACAAGCATTGTGATTGTTATGAGATCTGTAACAGGACTCTGAGTTCACATTTTATAGAAGAATTGAAGACTGAAATCTGAACTTTAAACTAATACAAGAATCATATTTCAGAACATGTTTGTACAGATCTAAACTACAGGGTTAAGTGTTTTTATGCAGAATAAGACCCCATGTTATTAGGTTCTTTTTCAGACCAAGAGTTTGTTTTCATCCTGACAGTTTGTTCTGCTCCCTGCGCGCTTCCTCAGAGTCTCCCTCTTCGTCTTCCTCAGAGTCTTCCTCTTCAGAGTCTTCCTCAGAGTCTTCCTCAGAGTCTTCCTCAGAGTCTTCCTCAGAGTCTTCCTCAGAGTCTTCCTCAGAGTCTTGTGATGTTGCTGTGTCGTGTTGCTCAGCTGATTCTGGTGTTGTCTTCCACCCGGTGGAGGCAGGACACTAGCACCACATGCAGTCCCACTTCCTCAGGACATCAGAGCATCCCAGCATCCCAGAGTAAAAAAGCCCCTCGTCCCGGTTTATCGTCCTGTGGGCATGTTTCCTGCCTCCAACGGTAGAAGACAGCACCAAAACCTGTTTAAATCAGCTGAGCGACACGTCACAGCAACATCACGAGACTTTGAGGAAGACTCTGAGGAAGACTCTGAGGGAGACTCTGAGGAGACTCTGAGGAGACTCTGAGGGAGACTCTGAGGGAGACTCTGAGGAAGAGAGACTCTGAGGGAGACTCTGAGGGAGACTCTGAGGAAGACTCTGAGAAGGGAGACTCTGAGGAAGACTCTGAGGAGGAAGACTCTGAGGAAGACTCTGAGAAAGACTCTGAGGAAGACTCTGAGGAAAGACTCTGAGGAAAGACTCTGAGGGAGACTCTGAGGGAGACTCTGAGGGAGACTCTGAGGGAGACTCTGAGGAAGATTCTGAGGAAGAGCGCAGGGAGCAGAACAAACTTATGAAAACAAACCCTTGGTCTGAAAAAAGAACCTAAAAACATAAATGATTAAAAGACCAAATGAGACAAGGGCATCTGACACACAGGGTCATTTCAGAACATGTTTGTACAGATCTAAACTACAGGGTGAGCAGTTTTTATGCAGAATAAGACCAGAGATGTTGTAATGTTGTGAATGTTGCTCTGTTGAATATCACATTGAAACGTGAGTGAGTGGCGGTGCGTTCAAAGACACCTGGTGCGTCCGGTGTCTGGGTCGAGCACGCGGCGGATCACGCTCTGCCGGGCCTCGTACTCCTCTTTGGTCATAGGCCTCTTGGTGGAGAGCCGCGCCTTCTGCTCGTCCGTCATCACTGAGAGAACACACACGAGACAGATTAGATTAGAGATCCATCGATATATCGCTTGGCCGATTCTGGACTTTTTAGTGTATCGGCCTTGAATCTCCAGCAGAGGACGATTATTTTGTTCTGGTCGATCTGCTGCCTAAAAAATACACACAAAGCTTTATATGAACACTTTAATATGAAAAGATAAATATGACTACACCATGAGAGGACGAGGAGAGTGAAGAGGACGAGAGGAGGCCTAATGACACAATAATAATAATTAAAAAACTCTTTCTTTAGACTGTAGAATGTGATTTTCCACATGAAATGGCAGAAGGTTCTGTTCTGTTCCCTGTGGTCTTACACCTGTGTGATCAGGTCCAGGTGGGTTCCTTCGGGGTCCAGAGTCTGTGTGGTTCAGTGAACACAAGGTGCTCATCTAGACTCTGGTTTTCTGGAGACGTTTGGGCTCCAGAAGTCATTTTACATTGATGGAAACAACCTGCAGCTCTGGGAACTGATCCTGTTCTGAGAAAGTCCAGCCTTGCCCTTGTCCAGGGAGCAGTTTTAGATTGGGACACGTCCTGCCCTTGTTTACCTCTGATACTTTTGACATCACACTGCAGTAAGACAAACTTGCTTTGGCAGGTTGAAGAGTTCTTATGAAACAGCTCTGGACAACCTCCAAACCACTCGCAGATTGTGCCTCCAGGAGGTGATTTGTCAACAAAAATACTGATATGTTAATTCTTTTATTCATTCAGTTATCAAACCTTGTAAATGCAAGTCATCCAGCTCATGTCCCTGACGCACTCACGTCTGAAAACACGTGGATGTGGCTGTAGGAGTCAGACGTGGGTAGTGTACAATGACTCAGTTACATTTGTTTGAGCAAAAATGTAACTTTTCCACTTTACTTTATTAGTGGCATAATTTTACTCCTACTTCAGTGATATTTTTTCTTATTGAAGTAACAGTACTGTTACTTGACTAAAGGTCGTGCTTCGTCTTCCCACTGTGAGTCGACACGTGACAAAAGTTTGATGTGACACTATGAAATGATTTGAACATTTGTGTTTTCTTTCTTTCTTCCTTTGAAAAGACCAGATTTTGTGACTTATTTAAAAGGAACAGTACGTAACCTTCTGGAGTTGGTGCGTCAGCTGCATGATTCTATGGAAACCAAACGTTAAACCCAACTTCAGGACATTGTCCACGAAGAAAGACACTAAGATACAAGGGATGTAACAATACAGTTTTAAGGTTTAAGAGTCAGGTTTGTGGAGATGCAAGCCCACTCACAGTGACGAAACACTTTTTTTAAATGTTTTTTGTTTTTCAGAAAAACTAAATGCAAAATAAAATGCAAAAAAACATGCCTTTATTTGAGTCTGTTTTTGGCTTAGAAAGTTACATACTGTGGCTTTAATGTTTTTTCCACCAAATTTCAACTTCAAATTATAAATCAGATGTTCTGTCTCAACACTTCCTCTTTACTTCATAAACACTTTTACTTACACTCACTTACGAGAAAAGCTTTCATCAGTGCTCATCTGGACTCTGGGTTTGAAATCAAGACGTTTCGGCTCCAGCCCAGGAGCACAAGTACTGACCTAGTACATGGAGCTAGTACCTCACACAGAGTACTGTGTACTGACCTAGTACATGGAGCTAGTACCTCACACAGAGTACTGTGTACTGACCTAGTACATGGAGCCTAGTACCTCACACAGAGTACTGTGTACTGACCTAGTACATGGAGCTAGTACCTCACACAGAGTACTGTGTACTGACCTAGTACATGGAGCTAGTACCTCACACAGAGTACTGTGTACTGACCTAGTACATGGAGCCTAGTACCTCACACAGAGTACTGTGTACTGACCTAGTACATGGAGCTAGTACTTCACACAGAGTACTGTGTACTGACCTAGTACATGGAGCCAGTACCTCACACAGAGTACTGTGTACTGAGCTAGTACATGGAGCTAGTACTTCACACAGAGTACTGTGTACTGAGCTAGTACATGGAGCCAATACCTCAAACAGAGTACTGTGTACTGACCTAGTACATGGAGTCAGTACCTCACACAGAGTACTGTGTACTGACCTAGTACATGGAGCCAGTACCTCACACAGAGTACTGTGTACTGAGCTAGTACATGGAGCTAGTACTTCACACAGAGTACTGTGTACTGAGCTAGTACATGGAGCTAGTACTTCACACAGAGTACTGTGTACTGACCTAGTACATGGAGCTAGTACTTCACACAGAGTACTGTGTACTGAGCTAGTACATGGAGCTAGTACTTCACACAGAGTACTGTGTACTGAGCTAGTACATGGAGCTAGTACTTCACAGTGAACATGGCTGGGTGGGACTGGCCTGTTGGGATGCTCATAATGAATGAAGCTGTTGACTGAACAGCAGTTCCTCAATACAAAGTCCCACAAACAGGTTTGGAAGACTTCAGTATGTGGCTGAAGCTCGCACACACAGGGACCCCCGGCCCAGCGCCAGGCCCAGGGTCACTCTGCCAGACCACACAGCCAAAAGTGAACCACAGAAGATGCAACTATTTCAAACATGTCATGAGCCAAAAGCAGGTCAGAGTCTGAACAGCTCTGACTCCAGTAGGGCTGTAGGCCTCATGAGTTTATTTAGATTAGAAGGATTTGTACAGAACAACAGCAGAATGGAGAAGTGAGTGAGTTTGGTATTGAATTGTATTTATATGTAAAAAGACATATTGGGGCTGTCAAATGTATCAAAAATCTGATACTAATCGATACTAAAACAAGTATTGAAACTAGATCCTCATTTGAGCAGGTATTGATACTAAAAAAATCCCACTGACAGGACAGAGCAGAACCTTTCCTGAATGACGGCAAGGAGAAAATTCAGTTTGTCAACTGGACAAAAGTTAGTTTGTTTGAAGACGTCAGAACTGAAGAAGCAGCGTGGATGAGCTGCGAAACCAAAACTTCAACCAAACTAACTTTTGTCCGGTGGTCGACAAACTGAATTTTCTCCTCGACATGGATTCTACCTGGACGACTGAGGGATTCTTCACTTTCCTGAACGATGTTGAGCTGTACAGAACAAGTAGAAGAGCACATAGACAATATACACACACGGACCAACATGAACCCACTGCACCACTGAGGGATAAACTACCACCATTTAATGTTGAAAATCTCATTCTATTGTCTACTCTTAGTATCAAATTCAAATCAAATTTGTCTTTATATAAACACATTGTTTCTGCATAAATAGTATAGTAGTATCAATAGTACAGTAGTTTTTGGATAAACTCCCCCTGCAGGTGTAGTCGTGTGAGTGCAGATTGAGTCAGATAAATAGAGACACATAAAAGGTTTGAGAGTTTTTTGCCCCCTCCTCCCCCCTCACTCTCCCCTTTTTTCCTCCAGGTCCTGCCAGTTTAACAGTTTAATCCCATTTCAATTTCAAAATGAAAAAATTTATTATTATTATTATTTTTTTTTTTTTATTGTTAAAAACCTGAAAATTCTCACCTGGTCCAAAATCCTCAGCAGTGTCTTCGCTCTGCCACACCTCCAGAGACGAGGCTCCAGCCTGGGGCCCACTGACCAGAGGGGAGGGGCCAGTGACCATGGGGGAGGGGCCACAGGCAGGGGGGGAGGGGCCACAGGCAGGAGGGGAGGGGCCACTGACCAGAAGGGAGGGGCCACTCTTCTTCTTCTTTTCCTTCTTCTTTTTTTTCTTCTCCTTTTTGGCTTTGTTCTTGTTCTTTTTCTTGTCCTTTTTTTTCTTCTGTTTGCCGTGCTTGCGTTTTTTCTTCTTCCTCTTGTCTGGGCTGGATGAAGAGGAGGAGCTGGAGGAGGAAGAGGAGGATGAGGAGGAGGAGGAGGAAGAACTTCTCCTTCGTTTCTTTCTTCGTTCTTTTTTGTCTGAGGAGAGAAAGACTTTGGTATGAGTCGAGTGCCGAGAGCCGATTCTAACACGTGTAGCACAAAGTACCAGCTCAGGAACGAAACCAGGAGAAGAAATGTTTGGTGCAAAAGTCTGTGTCTCCAAAATGAGTTCAGACACTAACCAAAACACTTGAAGAGAGAATATAAGAAGCAAGATATGTGGAATTATTTAAGAAAAACAGTGAAATAACTCTACTAACTATTTTTGGACAAAGCAAAGGGCGACTTTGAGGATTTGATTATAAAAAATATTCAGTAGTTAGTTCACTGTTTTCTCTTTGCTACATAATTCCAGACATCGTACTTCATATGGACTTCATATTAATGTCTGTAAACGTACGTGTAAAACATACAAAGTAAAAATAAAGGAAAAAAAAATGCAACTGTGCATGTGCAGTGTGTGTGTGTGTGCACCTGTGTGTGTGTGTGTGTGTGCACCTGTGTGTGCACCTGTGAGTGTGTGTGTGTGTGTGCACCTGTGTGTGTGTGTGTGTGTGCACCTGTGTGTGTGTGTGTGTGCACCTGTGTGTGTGCACCTGTGTGTGTGTGTGTGCACCTGTGTGTATGTATGCATACCTGTGTGTGTGTCTGTGTGCATGCACTGGTGTGTGTGTGCTTTGTGTGTGTGTGTGTGTGTGTGTGTGTGTGTGTACCTGTGTGTGTGTGTGTGTGTGTGTGTGTGTGTGTGTGTGTACCTGTGTGTGTGTGTGTGTGTGTACCTGTGTGTGTGTGTGTGTGTGTGTGTGTGTGTGTGTGTGTGTGTATGTGTGTGTATGCGTGTGTGTGTATGTGTGTGTGCTTTTGTGTGTGTGTGTGTGTACCTGTGTGTGTGTGTGTGTGTGTGTGTGCTTTTGTGTGTGTGTGTGTTGTGACGTCACACTTGGAGGAGCCATAGAGATTCATCAACACATTGTTCACCTTTTTGCTGAAGGCAGAGCTGTAAAACTGTTTACAGTTTTCTCAGAATTGATCATGTATCTCAACACGTATCCAAAACTATTCATGATTACGACATTTCTGAGTAAACAGAATGTTTCAGCTGGAAGCTTTTTACTCAGAAACATCATAATCATGTTATAGTCCTGCCCTCAGCAAAGAAGGGGACAATTTATTCTCTGGAGACATATTGAGATTCATATTTAATTCTGAGAAAAGTGTATCACTGTATCATTGAATCATTAATAACAATATGCTCTACTGTATTTATTTACACTTATGTCACAAATCAGGAAGATATTTGGAAACGTGATGAAATTTCCGGTGTATTTCTCAACACTGGGCTCGCCGATGACTGTGATCAAAACCACTGAAGTAAATGTGATCAGAGGTAAAATGAAGACTGCAGACGTATGTGCTGTTTGGAATCATGTGGAATTTGGCCTCAGCTCTTCCTGTACCCAGTGCACTGAGTTGTGTGTCAGTGTAGAAATGATGAAAACTGAGGTATAGTCGGAACTGTTGATTTGCCAAACATAACAGAACACTACAATGACATGGAGATGAAGAAAACATTTTCTCATTTTTACTAGATTTTGTAAGACTTATTACTGTGAACAGAGCCCAGAGGAAGTTGTCATCACATGTTTCCAAACGTCTTCCTGGTTTGTGACGAAAGTGTGAACAGAGACTATTAGACGACAGGTGCCTCCTAAACTCTCCAAAGTGTGAAACGTTTCTTTCATTGTGTTTGGGAGTGTGACAAGACTCAACTGTGTCAGCAGGGAGTCAGATTTTTTATTTATTTTTTTACATTAAGGAACCCATTCACACATACACCAGTGTGCACGGACACTGGGGACGAGGCAGATTAAGTATCTGGCCCAAGGACACAACAACAGCAGTCATCTGTGAGATCTGGAATGGCATTGCTAACATGTGAGCGGGATTCAAACCACCAACCTTTGGATCAGAGGACAAACACTCTAGGGTCAGTTCGTATGAAATCAGCCATTTTCAAGAAATCTCCCCTATGAGTCATCTCAGATTTGGCTGAAAAAAATTCTAAAAAAATTCTAAAATCATAAAAATAAAATAATCTCAAATTTTAGCTCAATCCCTTGAGTCGTTCCTGAGTTATGGCCTGGTGAAATTTTGGGGCCATGTTCACTTTTTCAGAAGCCTTAATTTTAAAGCATGTTTGAGAGACCAGAACTTCATCAAAAATAGAGCTAGGAAGCTGAACATTTGTATTATTGTAGATTCTTGGTCATAGATTCTGTTGTCAAATATTGTGTGTCTTCATTAAGGGGGGCACTGTGGGCCCCCAAAATCTCACGTTTGGTTGCCGCTCAATTTTTTTGGTCAATTTTTGAGGTCCAAGATCTATTTACTCCAAGCAGATTTACAAACAAACTGTTGAACCTGAATATTTGAGAGAATGACCATTTCTGACAACAATCTCACACTTTTCTGAGCTTTCATGTGGATGGTGTAGAGTCTCAAATATGGTCACAGATCAAATGTGATCTTTTTGGCCCCTTTTTTGGACCCTCGGTTCCCCATGTGGTACAGTTAAATGTTGATCAAATTTTCACCAAAGAAACTGATTAGTTTAAAGTAATAAAAACATCTACGATTAACTTCATTCATTTCAAATGGAATTTTTGAAAATGAATCTCATGGGTCATTTTTGGTGGAGCTTCACCTTCCACCTGCTAGAAAGACTAAATTACCTTTAATAGACTTAAACACTAGTTGCTTGTTACAAGGGAAGACAATTAGAGCTTATTTGTGGTACATTGTTTGTGATGGTTTTGGTGGCACAGTAAAATGTTCGGCTGCAAGGACCAGTCTTCAGACAACTGACAGCAGTCAAATATTGACCTCACTCCAGACGTTTGAGTGAGCTTCACAACACATAAAGAATGTAAAGTATTTCTTTACAAGCTCTAAATACATTACAAACCATGAACTTACTTCCAAACTTGAAGAGCACCATAGAGCTTCCTAGCTCTATTTTTGACGAAGTTCTGGTCTCTCAAACATACTTATAAATTAAGGTGTCAGAAAAAGTTCAACGGGCCATAACTCAGGAACGACTCAAGGGATTGAGCTAAAATTTGAGACGGTTTCATTTGGTGATTTTCCACATTTTTTGAAAAAAAATTCAGCCAAATCTGAGAAAGCTCACAGGGGAGGGTGGCTGATTTCATACGGACTGACACCAACTGAGCTACTGTCTATAAAAAAAGAGTTACTCAAATAAATGTAACTGAAAAATCCTACAACCACATGCACGTGTTTTCAGGTGTGAGAGCGTCAGGAGACACATGAGCTGGACGACTTCCAACTACAACTCTGATAACAAAATGAATAAAAGCAGGAGCATATCAGCTCTTTTGTTGACGTATCGCCTCCCGTTGGGCATTAGCACAAACTGCGAGCTCTTTGAAGGTAGTCCAGAACTCTTTATAAGAACTCATGAGCCAGTCCAAGGAAGTTTGTCTTATCGCCGCGTTTTGTTATCAGAAGTATCAATAATCAAACTTGTATCGAAGCCAGATACTCATTTGAGCAGGAATCGATACTAAAAAGGACGGAGCAGAACCTTTCCTGAATGTTTTTAGAATTGATTTTAAGCTGTACAGAACAAGTGTCAGAGCACATAAACTAGAACACACATGGACCAACATGAACCTACTGGACCACTGGCCATTACACACATATAAGACACATGGGAATAGAAAAGAAAGTTATATAATTTAATGTTGAAAGTCAGATTCTACTGTGTAATGAAAGATCACACCAGGCTTAAAGGTCCTTTATTACACAATAGTGACTCATGTGAGCTTTTAGTTTTGTTATGATGTTGTTACCTCCTCAAAAACAGACTTGGAGTTGTGTTTTGTTTCATTCAGACATGTTTGAGTCCAGCATTATTTGTCATCTCCAACGACAACGAGACAAAAATGAGGTGTAACATCCAGCGTCATGGTGTTCTCAACATCAAGACGACCAAGGGGATTACAGTGGACTTAAAAATGAAACAAAACAAAAGAGTGACCAACTTGACATTCCGGAGGGTGACCGTGACTGAGGGCCTGTCCTGGGGCATTCACACTGCCACAGCTGTGCGGATGGTCCAACAACGCCTCAACTCCTCCAGGAACACCAGTATCTCCAGACCGATGATGGTGAACTTCTACAACTGTGCCAGTAGAGTCCTGACATATGGACCTTTAGTGTGGTTCTCCTGCTGTACTAAGCTCCAGCAGGTAGTGAAAATAACGAGGAACATCTACACCACACTGTCTGAGGAGAAACATCTACACCACACTGTCTGAGGAGAAACATCTACACCACACTGTCTGAGGAGAAACATCTACACCACACTGTCTGAGGAGAAACATCTACACCACACTGTCTGAGGAGAAACATCTACACCACACTGTCTGAGGAGAAACATCTACACCACACTGTCTGAGGAGAAACATCTACACCACACTGTCTGAGGAGAAACATCTACACCACACTGTCTGAGGAGAAACATCTACACCACACTGTCTGAGGAGAGTGCACAACAACCTGCGTGATCGGCTCCACATCCAACTCCATTTCACGTTGGGATGTCATTTATTTGTAGTTTCAGGGTTAACAGTTATTTTAGTTTCAACTGAACTGCTTTACTGTAAAACACACTGGGACAGGGGTGGACAATACTTTTTCCATGGGGCAACTTAATTCTGCATAATATGAATTGTATTTCTTCATAAAAAGCAGTAAATCTCATTGTTTAGATGAGCTGCTCAGACTGGGAAGAGTTTATGTTCTGACTAAACAATGAAAAAGTGAGACTGCCCAACAAAAAAAAGTCATTAAAAACACCTCTAAAATAAAAGAAATAAAGCTTTAGTCCATGCATGAGATAAAATTATAAAATAGTTTATTTTGTAATTTTTAATTATTTTAAACAGGCTGGTCAGAGTAAAGGGCCGTATGTGGCCCCGGAGCTGCACAATGCCCAGGTCTGCTCTAGAATAACCATAAGCTGTTGCTTTTAGTTTGGAATATTTTACACAATTGAGAAAGTCTAATATCTGCTGGTGCACTGAGGAGTGAAGCATCTTCAATGAGGCAACAGCTGTAAATTCAAACTTATGAAACTCCAGATCAGAAATGATCAAAATAATTCTGAAGATGTATACAGAGTTTAAAAGCACAGTGGAACACTTCCTGTAGCACCACTAGGCCCGTCCATCAAAGCACGGGAAAAATCAAGTTTCAGATGACCTCCATTAGAATCCTGCAGGTTTTAGAATCAAAAGATGATTTAGGAAGAAATTTGGAAGAAAAAGGAGATGTTTTAGAGCAGGCATGTTCAAACTATGGCCCATGGGCCAAATGTGGCCCTCAGACATTTTTTTCTTGGCCCTCAGGCTTTCAGGTGAATTGGCCCAAATGACCTTGTATCAATTAAAAATTTACTTTTTACTGCAAGTTTTTTGAAAATCTACCTTGATAAAGCAAATATTTAATATTCAGTGTGTGGATTTAAGAATCTTAGCCTGAATAAAGACTGACGAATCATTCTAACATGTTTAACATGCACATACTTCAGTTATTCACTGTATTGAGCACTGGGACTGGAAGACGTTGAAGACGTCATGAAGACGCTGCCGATACGATACACACCTTGATACACAGGCCATGATACAATACAGTGCATTTTCGATTCGATCCGATATATTACAAATTGGTTCAACATGATTCAATAAAAAATTAAGTCTAAATCATGGCTGTGATACTAAAAGTTTTTGTTAAACCACTTCTTGTGAAAAGTTAATCTGAAACACAAACATTTTACTCATTCCTCAAAAACAAGCAACAAAACTGTAGCTCTGTAACAAAATAACTGAGTAAAATATACCAAAAAATACTCGGTGATCTATCGATACAGCAGCCCACGATATCGATACTGTATCAACACGTTAAACGATACGATACATCAATATTTCAATATTTTGGCACAGCCTTATTCAGCACCAGTCTCCGGCCCTCGATCGGCCTCTGCTTCATCTGTGATTAGATTTGTGGCCCTTGATGAAAAATTTTTGGACATCCCTGTTTTTGAGGTTGCTCAAGCTGCATGAAATTTCCTTGAAACTGACTAATGGGTCATTCCACGCCATTTCATCAAATTTACAGAAAATCTCACAAATCATGTTTTTAAAAAATTTTGAACAAATTACCAGCTGGTCCCTTACTGTCATGTACCAACCCTGTGAAGTTTTAGTCATTTTTGATCAATACTTTATAAGCTACAGCTCATTTAGTGAGGGGAGGATGTGTCAATTTATGGGCCCAAAATGCACGTCATTTTTTCACAGGTCGATATCTCTGTAAGTATCACACACAGAGGGCTGAAATTTTGTAAGGTTGTACTCCTCTACTCTGTGTTCAAATAACATCTATCAACAGTTTAGTATCTCAACTCATTGCCATTTTATTGTCACTTAAAAATGAGAGAAAAAAAATCTTTCATTTCTGTGGCCTACCATTTTTAGCCCCTTTTTAAACCTACTTGTCGGTGTCGGAGACCCTTCAATTTTTTTGAGAATCAAGATATGTACTAGGACTGTTAAAAAAATCACCAAATGTTGAAAAAGTGAAATAAAAAAATTGAAAATTGAAAATTGAAGGAGCTTCATAAAATACATATGTTTGGTACCATATGAAAGGTCTTTTTCTGGTCTTTCAGGAAAAAAAATATTCAAAATGTTTTTATCACTACCCAGATGCCATAAATGACATGTGAAAATCGGACCATGTTGCTTTTTCTTGTTTTTAACAGGACCCTCACACGTAACCTATTTCAAATTTTCAACATTTGGTGATTGTTTTTTAACAGTCATAGTACTAGTACTAGTAGTATTTTGATTTTCAAAAAAATGTAAGGGTCTCCGACACCTACAAGTAGGTTTAAAAAGGGGCTAAAAATGGTAGGCCATGAAAATTAACATGTTTTTTTTTTTTTTTTCATTTTTAAGTTGATATAAAATGACAATGAGTTGAGATACCAAACTTTCGATAGATGTTATTTGAACACAGAGTAGAGGAATACAACCTTACAAAATTTCAGCCCTCTGTGTGTGATACTTACGAAGATATCGACCTGTGAAAACAGCCGAGAAAAAAATGACGTGCATTTTGGGCCCGAAAATGGATAAAAAAATCAAAAATTACAAAAATTCAAAACTTCAAAAATTACTAAAACTTCACAAGGTTGGTACATGATAGTAAAGGACTATTTGGTCATTTTTTCAAAATTCTTTGAGAAAGAAGTGTGTGGGCCATTTGTTGAAATGGCATGGAATGATCCATATAATATATATGTGTATGTATATATATATGTGTGTATGTGTGTATATATATATATATATATATATATATATATATATATATATATATATATACACATATATATACACACACACACACACACACACACTCCTCTAAATATAAATTGATTTGCATAAAATTTTGACTCAAATATTTTTGCCAGATCTGAAACCAAATGTAGGATTGGAACCAAATGCAGGGCTCTAATACAGAAAATCTTTAAAAATAAAATAAAATTTGGACCACCTTAATCACCACTCAGTGACGTCACTCTTTCAGTTTGAGAGAAGAACTCAGCCGAAATGTGCAGGGTTTGTGTGTTAAACGTGTGAATGAAACAAAACACAAGTCCAGGTCTGAATGAGGAAACATTCAAACATAGATGAGACATAGTGCAGTATGATGCGGGTCCTTTGAGGAGACCACAGGACTGAATCAGGTCTGTGCCAGGGTCAGCAGGAGCGGGACTAAACCAGCGCGGTGCCTCTGAGTATTGCCCACCTTTGGACTTGTCTCTCCGGGCGCTGCTCCTGCTCCTGCTGCTGCTGGAGGAGGAAGAGGAGGACGAGGACGTGGATGAAGACCGTCTCCGCTTCTTCTTACGGCTCTCTTTCTGCTCTCTGCTAATTCTGTCCCGAGACCTGCTGCGATCCATCACTCCCCGAGGACTTCCAGCCAGCACGTGAACGAAAGCAGCGCGATCACACACAAAAACAACCTGAACACAGCAGGAGAGGACTGCTTCCGCTCTTGGGTTTGATTGGATCCGTCAGAGAATTCAGTCCGGGTGGAACAACAAAGCGTCTTTGTAGTGCCTTGGGCAGTGAGCGTTACATTTTCCGCGTTTTTTTTTTTTTTTAATTGTTGTGTATATAGTTATTTACATTACTGTTATTTTATGTTTTCTAGTAAAATAACATACATTTAACTACTTCTGTCACAAATAAATCAAAACTAAATTCTAAAAGTCATTCAAATAATCAAATCTGTACTTCAGCTTTAAATTGACTGTTACCTTTTGTATATTCTTCATGTAATATATATATATTGAACTGCAGTATTCTATACCTAATTTGTCTTCTGTAATGTTTATACTTTTTACACATAAATGACTATTAGGTGAAAGCAGTAGGATTTATTAATGACATTACTGTTTTTTTCATTTTATTGTAAGTGACTGACAGAATACACAGACAACAGTGTGAGAAGATACTGTAACATTTATTCAAAGTCTTTACAAAGGCAATTGTGAATTCTTAAAGCTGATATTCTATTACATATCTTCAAACCTGATTCTGGTAGCCCTTTGTTACTAAGGCTAAACCACCTGTGAAAACAAAATTAAAGAAAAAAAAAAGAAAAAATCAGCAGCACGCTGCATTTAGAATTGTCAAACTTTTTTTTTTTTTTTTCGCTTAAATACTGCAGTAATAAATAACTCTTAAAACTCTGTGTGTCGTTCATTCCACAGACGCTTCTGAAAAGGATAAATAATGGCGTAGAGTAAAACTTCAGCTGTTTAGTCAGTAACAGTTTCAACATGGCTGAACTGGCATCATGTGTCTCCCCATCCATGTGCAAAGGAGCTCCAGGAAGCTCTCCGATAAACTGTGGGGGAGGGAGGGGGAGGGAAGGGGCGGAATGTCAATGGAACTGCACCCGCGGGTGCACCCACGGCCCATCAGGACGCCGCAGCCATGCGCAGCCTCTCGGGGGGGCAGAGCAGGCTGTTCTTGGCCGCTTTCACCGTGTTCATCATGAGCATGGCCACAGTCATGGGCCCCACGCCTCCAGGCACAGGCGTGATGAAGCCTGCCTTCTGTCGCACACCTGAGGAAGGACACGGGCACAGAGTCAGGCTCTGGAGGAGCAGTCGCACTTCAACATGACTTTAAGCTCAAACTTCACACATACAAATGTCACACATTTGGCCGTTTTGCATCACAATGCATAGGCTATGGCATTAAGTGTTTACTTCAGCCTAAACCCTTTCACTCAAGAACCATGGGGATGTAGTCTATGTTTCGTTTTGTAGTTCTGTAAAATGACCGAATAAACTACCACTACTACTTCAGTTACAGTGTGTGTGTGACATAGAAGGCCTTGTTAAACACACCACAGTTCTTTTAGATCAGGGACACTACTAACAAGTGATCACAGCTCAGAATTCTTAGAATGATGATGTTATTATTAATCACACATGCATCAGCTCAACCAGTCATGTGGAGCCCCACCTCCCCTCACTTAGCCTTTGGGGAGTGTTACATAATGAACACTTGGTTCACCTGAGCACCAGCATGTGGCAGGTTTATATTGGAGTTCCAGCCCTTTGGCCATGTTCATTTTACTCTTCAACTTAGTTCAGTTATGGAAATTAAACCATTTCTGTAGTACTTGCAGTTTGCAGTAGATGGCTCACTCTAACCCTCATCAGACATTCATATGTGTAGACCCCTGTTGGTCTCTTTTTTTAACCCCTTTTGGACCCAGACAAATGCTGTACCTTCAAAGTCCACATCTCCCACCAGCCGGCTCTTCCCGGTCACTGGGTCCTGTATCCGGTTTATTCCCACATCGATGACAGCGGCTCCTTCTTTGATCATATCTGCAGTGATCAGGTTGGGGATTCCTAAGAGAACCAGCATTTCATTAGTGAAGTGAATACATTTTAACTCAAGTAAAGTCTTGGAGTTTGTTCAGACCTGCTGCGGCCACGATGATGTCGGCGATTTTTGTGTGCTGGCGGAGCTGTTCTTTTGGCGTGTACCGGTGTGATATAGTCACTGTGGCATCACCTGCACACACACATACACATATCAGTCATTTAGGATTTCAAATACTTCTTATGTTTTCACTTTAAATGGTGTCCCATGTTTCTGCTCTGTCTGGGTCACCTTAGCAAGAGGCTGTTGTGTTGTGTGGCTGATGTTTGGGTCTGCACTGGGCTGTGGACTGAATAGTGATGAGGAGGTGGCCCCATGGCTCTCTGCTCCTTTAGAGGAGGTGGCAGATAAATGGAGTCTCATTCTGTCCTCTGAAAGGGCATTCTCTACGAGTCATTGGCCCTGCTGTACTTCCTGCTTTCTTTGTGAGCTGTGATTGGCTCAGAGCCTCTCACATGTAAACCAGGGGACAAGGAAACATGGCAAGCTAGTTTACAAATACTGCAAATGTGGACATGTGTCCATGCTCATGTGTCCTCAAGCTGTTCTACATGTGTATGAATGCCCTCCCTACATATGAATGACATGGGACCCACCAGGACCCCCACCACAACCTCCACCAGGACCCTCACTACGACCCCTGTTCAACTGAAACACCATGAAAGTCTCCCTGTTACTGTTGTAATGGAACATATAATGGAACACTCACCTCCAGGCCTCTCATGGCGCCCGTCTGTGTGCAGCAGCATGGCGATGGGCATTCCCACGTTCTTTGAGCGACCGGCCACCACCACATTCTTCCCCAGGGTGGGTATCCCTGTATACACATGTACACACATGTCAGAGGAGGGGACGGAGGGGACAGTGGGACAGAGAGAGAGACAGACAGAGGAAGAGGAGGAGAAGCAGGTGCTACCTGTGCGCTTGATGATCTCCCACACGCCCCAGGGGGTGGCGGGCAGCATACTAGACTGGTCCAGACACATTCGTCCCACGTTCACCACATGGAAGCCATCCACGTCCTTGGTGGGTGCCACAGCGTTACAGATGGTGCGCTCATCAATGTGCTCTGCACACACAGTTATATAATGATATATGAGGAGTCTGCAAAGCATTGCGGTGGACACAGGAGAACCACAGAGTTCATACCAGGCAGAGGCAGCTGCACCAGCAGCCCATCCACGCGGTGGTCTGAGTTGAGTTTGTCGATGAGGTCCAGCAAGGCCTCCTCACTGGTGGATGAGTGCTTTAGGATGGTCTCACTGGAGATACCTGAGGACCACAGCACAGTTACACTATGCTCCACACAAGCCTGTGAGATGTTTCACATCTTCTGACACGAGCAGTTCTCCTCACCGACATCTGCAGCGGCCCGGGTCTTGTTGAGGACGTAGGAGTGACTGGCAGGGTCATCCCCCACCAGAATCACACTGAGGTGGGGTCTCCTGTTCCCCGCCAGCACCCACTTCTCCACATCCACTCGCGCCTCCTCTCGGATCTGCCGCGCCAACTTCTTCCCCGAGATCACCACGGCTTCCTGTCTGCAAACAACACACACGGACATGTTAGAACTATACACAACATACAAACAATATACAACACACACGGACATGTTAGAACTATACACAACATACAAACAATATACAACACACGGACATGTTAGAACTATACACAACATACAAACAATATACAACACACACGGACATGTTAGAACTATACACAACATACAAACAATATACAACACACACGGACATGTTAGAACTATACACAACATGCAAACAATATACAACACACACAGACATGTTAGAACTATACACAACATGCAAACAATATACAACACACACGGACTTGTTAGAACTATACACAACATGCAAACAATATACAACACACACGGACAAGTGAGAGATGATGTCCAACACAGCAGTGGGCTTCTGTAAAGTCAAATGTTAAAGGTGAGCTCTCAGAGGCCGCAGGGCTAAGGTTATGTCATGTTTGGTTCTTTTGTCCGCTGTAGATGGGAAATGCACTTAATCATTATGTGTAATCTGTTACTCATCCAAGTTCGATTGCCACAAACAAGATAAACCTGCTCAAACCTGTTGTGTCTTTGTTTGTTTCAAACTACATAAGCACTTCCACGTATCAACATTTACTGATTCAAATGAAGTCAAATGTCCAGAGCAGCCCTGGTCCCTGCTGTAGAGTAACCCCGCTGCATTTCACACATGGAGCACAGTGTGCTCGCTAAAATTAGCCCAGTGCCCTTCTACCTGACACAGACACTTGGACCCGGGTGCCAGCGTTACCCTGTACTCCCGCTGCTGTAATACACTTACTGTACAGGAGCCAAGGACAAAATACAGACTGGTAGTGCTATTCATCAAAATGGGACCCCAACCAGACCACATCATGTTTTTTACAGTGTAGAATTTTAACAATATAATAATCTGGATTTCAAAACATGTTTGTAGAGTTCTAAACTACAGGATCGACAACCTTTACACACAATAACCCCATGGAGACACAGGGAGGGCATCTGACACACAGGGAGGGCATCTGACACACAGGGAGGGCATCTGACACACAGGGAGGGCATCTGACACACACAGACACACAGGAGGGCATCTGACACACAGGGAGGGCATCTGACACACAGGGAGGGCATCTGACACACAGGGAGGACATCTGACACACAGGGTCATTTCAGAACATGTTTGTAGACGTCTAAACTACAGGGTTAAAAGCTTCTGATGCATTATGAGCCATCATTCAAGTGGTTTTCCTCTTCCAGTCCACACGCCCATATAAGGCAGTGGAAAGCTCCTGACTCAAGGCAGTATTGTATAGTACTGTAGTACTGTAGTACTAGTACTGTGATTCCAGTGGCACCTCTGTTCATATGCAAATGATCAAGTTAACCTTATGTAAGCGGAGCACACCCCGACCACACCACAGAGGAACTGTGATTATGTAACACACTTTTTGTTTGCTAATTGACCCACTAACGCATTAGTGTGAAAACGGGGTGAGAGCACAAGTGAGGAAAGTAGAACGCTGCAAACTTAAAGGCCCTGTACCCGACCCCTCCTCCTGTGTGTTTGTCCCAGTGCACATATATTGTATAAGCAACTTTTGAGGTCAAAATAAGACCACTGTGTGCTGTCTGTATCTAATTCTAAAGCATTTTAAAACATGAGAATCAGGAACTGCATGGTTAGACTGCTAGTTGATGTTAGCATTACCATGACAGCAAAACTCTAGTCTCTGAAAGTTGTGAAAAAGTGCTTCTAAAGTCACTGTGGTGAATCATTAGGATGTTCTGAATGTGTAAGGAAAATGAGGAAGAACTCTAAAGTGTTTAAAATGAACCTACTGTTTTTTCATGTGATGAACCCAAAGAACAAGGCTCCAGTGATTCACAAATGTAAATCATTGGAGCCTAAAACATCATCATTTTAAAATGGGAAGAGATTGTGTTATTTTTTGCCCCATTTGCACAGTTCTATTCATGGTATTCAGCGTCCTGTTTACAGGCAATATGTAGAAGTGTTTTGGGCATTCTTAAGATATATATTTAAATATATTAATGATCAATGAGGAAATTTGAGCATTTAATCATTTTTAAACAATATTCATAAAGGTTATGCCCGATTTTTGTTGTATTTTTATGATGATTGCACAAACATTAGGGGTGCGCAAAAATATTGAAATATCAATATATCGTATCGTTCCATGTGATGATACAGTATCGAAATCATGATCTGCTATAATGATTTTGGGTTTTTTTGTATATTTTACTAAATTATTTAGTTACAGAGCTACAGTTTTGTTGCTTGTTTAGAGGAAGGAATCGTGTTGTGTTTCTTTTGAACTTTGTACAAGAAGTGGTTTAATAAAGACTTTTAGTGTCACAGCCATGATTTAGCTTTTACTTTTTCATTGAACTGTATTGAATCAATTTGAAATATATCATATCACATCGAAAAAATTTATCTTATCGTGGCATATGTATCGAGGTATGTATTGTATCAGCAATGTCTGAATGAAGTACTACCACATTTGAAGCTTCCTTGTTCATCTTTGTCCAGGGTAAACTCATGAGTCTCGAGACGTTTTCCCCCCATTAAAAAAAATAATGTCTGAAATGTACGGACACAGGTACCATCACATACACATGCGTTATCTGTAACTGTGACCCTTGGGTGCCCGTGGAGCAGGTGAAGCTGCCGTCATGCGCAGGGTGTCACACGGGAGCACCCTTGGGACCACGAGTGAGGCATTAGTCCATTAAACACATGGGCATCACATTGTGGCCTGCACGTTTTCAATCAACTCTGCACGAGATGAACCTGTGAGCTGATGGTGGGAGGGCGGTGGGGTGCGTACACTGCAAAAAGTTCTTATCACATTTCCTTTGAACAAGCAACAAAACTGCAGCTGTAATAAAAAAATACTCTTGGCAATATATCGATTCAGCAGCCCACGATATTGATACTGCATCATCACATTAACCAATACGATATATCAATATATATTTCAATATTTTTGCACAGCCCTAGTCATGAAGTGTTAGTTTTCAGTTTGACAGCTGCATTTACCGCAGTGAAATGTGCAGTTCCAAGGCACAAATCATCCAAATGATTCTAGTGCTGGTGTATGTCCTGTAAACATACTTGGAGCACTTCCTGTGTAACCACATGACATCATAAGGTGGAACAGAGTGTTTTCTGTTTAAGACTCTCTCCTGCTTAAATAATATGCAGAGTTTGTGAGTTAAATATGTGCAAATGAAACAAAAGAGGTAGGTGTGTCTGTGATGAGGAAACTACATTAGAACATTGATCAGAAAACAGACGAATCTGGGCCTTTGAAAACAACATTATACGTCCAAATGAGGTAAGTCCATGTTTCTTACCCCACTGGCAAAACTATTCTTTCATGAAATAAGTAGTAAATACATAGTAATGTAACAACAAATATAAAACTAGTAAAAGTAAGACTAAAAAATTCAGGTCATATAGAACACATTTTTGTAGTTTATGAGGAGAAGAATGCTGGAGGTGCAGAAACCGGAGAGCCCAGTCTAAAAAAGTGTTATGGAGCACATGGAGTGAGCTGGTGCAGGGTTTTTACTGAGGAGAGCACATTCCAAAAATCTAGAATAATTGGTTGTTTCATTTGACTACATATTAGAATTGTCAAAAGTATCAAAAATCAGATACTAATTGATAATAAAACTAGTATCGAAATGAGATACTCAACTGAGCAAATTTGATTTTTAAAAAGTCCCTTTGACAGGACAGAAATGAACCTTTCCTGAATAGGTTTAGAAAGATTTTGAGCTGTATCAGAATAAGTATCAGAGCACATAGACTAGTACACACCCATGGACCACGATGAACCTACTGGACCACTGAGGATTACACACATAGAATAGAAAAGAAAGTTTTACCACTTAATGCTGAAAATTAAAGTGTGTCAGTGTGGTATCGGAATCAGTATTAGTGTCTATTCCTGAGTGGTGAAATCAAGTTTGACATTTATTAACGTACGTTGCAATAGGGGATACCAATTCCAAAATCTTATTTTTGGAAGAGTACAAACTAAAGTGCTCAAAATATTGCATACCACAGGACGCTGAAACCAGGGAACAGTCTAATGCCAAAAGAGTAAAGCACAGTTTGGCCTGTGCCCGCGGTGAGATTGTGAGGAAAAAAAAAACAACGCAGCAAGATCAAAATATTTACACCAGTACAGTGTAAATGCCAGTCCCACTCAGGAGCTACAGCTGGATCTTACTGTGAAATGTTATTGAGGTTTATTACCGGGGTTCAGTTTGGTATAGTCATATTTTGTTTGGTATTTTAGTATTTTAGACTGAACTTCGTCTCTGACAATGGTGAGTTAGAATAAAACCAGTGCACTGTCACAATGTGAAGGAGAAACATTAAACACACACAGGCTGAATGCTCTGTGTGTGTGAGGCGGGTTTGATCCATACACTGTATACAGTGTGTGGTTATATCACAGGACGTGGCCCTGTGCCAAAAAGCGCAGCCCCGTCTCCAGCTGAGACCTGGGACCTGCTCCTGTCCTGTCAGGCTGCAAAAACCCACCACGATTTCATCAGCCAGCCAAGCTGCTGTGATACCGGCAAACCGCTAGGGGCGCGCCACAACAGGCGGAATGCGGACATTTAGTCTGCTCTTTCCCGCACACAAATCCGCGGGAAATGTACGAATACTGCGTTCTACACGCGATAAATACATAATACTGCCGGAACAATGTTCCCGTTCACGTTGGAGCCGGTCTGAGCCACATTCACAGACACTGTGCCGTAAACCCGGAGCCGCAGTGCGCGCACTCACCTCGCCGCGCTCGTGTGCAGTTGGCAGAGCTGGAGCTGCGACTGTTGGCACAGTTTCCTGAGGGTTCTGACCGCTGCCATGATGAAGATGAAGATGAGATGAAGAGAAGAGAGGACACACCGCCGGGTACGAGGGAAGAGCTGCGCTGGAGCCGAAAGAGAAGGGCTCTGAGGACCGATGAGCCGGAGAGACAAGCGCTTTAAGCAGCAGCCCGCCCCGCTACGTACGCATGACGTCACTGTTATCTGCTGCCACGCCCCCCGCGCAGCACGCCTCTTCACACAACTGTGATAACAGTATAAACACTCTGCTCTGATAACAATATATACACTCTACTGTGAGAACAATATATACTCTCTACTGTGAGAACAATATATACACTCTACTGTGAGAACAATATATACACTCTACTGTGAGAACAATATATACACTCTACTGTGAGAACAATATATACACTACTGTGAGAACATATATACACTCTACTGTGAGAACAATATATACACTCTACTGTGAGAACAATATATACACTCTACTGTGAGAACAATATATACACTACTCTGATAACAATATATACTCTCTACTGTGAGAACAATATATACACTCTACTGTGAGAACATATATACACTCTACTGTGAGAACAATATATACACTCTACTGTGAGAACAATATATACTCTCTACTCTGAGAACAATATATACTCTCTACTGTGAGAACAATATATACTCTCTACTGTGAGAACAATATATACACTCTACTGTGAGAACAATATATACACTCTACTGTGAGAACAATATATACTCTCTACTGTGAGAACAATATATACTCTCTACTCTGTGAGAACAATATATACTCTCTACTGTGAGAACAATATATACACTCTACTGTGAGAACAATATATACTCTCTACTCTGAGAACAATATATACTCTCTACTGTGCGAACAGTATATACACTCTACTGTGAGAACAATATATACACTCTACTGTGAGAACAGTATATACACTCTACTGTGAGAACAATATATACTCTCTACTGTGAGAACAATATATACACTCTACTGTGAGAACAGTATATACACTCTACTGTGAGAACAATATATACACTCTACTGCCATGATAACAGTCCTACTGCTGTTTGTACTGCATTTATACTGCACTGTACACAACTGTGAGAACAGCATGAACAGTCCCACTGCTGTGAGAACAGTTCTACATACAGTTCTGTGCAGTTCTACAACTGTGAGAACAGGATATACACTCTATACACTCTATGGATAAGAGTCCTACTGCTGTGAGAACAGTCCTACATATGCTGTCCTATGCAGTCCTACTGCTGCCTGCTGCAGGAGTTTACGTGTACTTCTACTGCACATTTATACTGCACTGTACTGAACTGTGATAACAGTCCAACTGCTGCATGCAGGAGTTTACGTGTATTTATACTACAGTATATAAATACACATCTCTAAAGTACAACATTCTGTAGCCTCTGCACTCCTAAAGTTTCAAAAAGTGTATTACAATCTCAACTGAACCTGTGTCCCCAGTATTGTAACATGCAGATAGATACACACCCTGCATTTGTCTCATTCTCAGTATTTGGACAGGCCTCATGTGAAGAATCCAAATAGATTGCGATTCATCTTGCAGCACTATGGAGTTGGTATTGTTGGTGTTGGTATTGTTGGTGTTGTTGGTCCTGTCATGGCTGTTGAAAACACAAAGCAGGGGGTGGACATTGTTGTCATTAGATCTGCACCAGTTAATTCACTCCAGAATTCACCCACTGAGCTGCAGAGGCTGCACTAGCACTGACTCCTGATGACTACAGGTGCTGTGCAGTTCTGTTCTGTAAGTAAGTAAAATGTACAAAAAAAAATACAACTACCCCAAAGTCTAACCTGAATATTTGTAAAGCGTTACTTTCCACCCCTGGTCATAATTTCCATGCTATACATGAGCTACATATTCAATATCAGTTACAATAAGTTACATACACACGTGATATTATATAACACAGGCATCTGTCATTGAGAGGTAAAGCTGCCATTATTCCTGCTCAACAGGTTTGTTGTTTGATTTCACATTTGCGTATGACCTCACTGTTTTGCCTGGAGCGTTCACACACGCCCAACACACCGTGTCTGACCCTGAGGAGTATCACTTTTATTTACCAACGGGAGTTTCCTTTAGAGGCAAAGGAGGTAGATATAAATATGATAACAGAAATATGATAACAGAAATGATAACAGAAATATGATGTAACAGTAGTGTGCTATCAGGCCCTGGCAAGGTGCTATCAGGGCCCTGGCAAGATGCTATCAGGGCCCTGGCAAGGTGCTGGCAGCACCCAGGGCCCTTGGGTGGGTCAAATAAATTGATATTTGTCAAACAGAGGTGAAATTACAGAACTGCTGCAGAATAAAAACATGCAGTCACAAACCAAGATAAACACTGATTCAAAGAACTGCACATAAGATAACATGAGCCAACAGTCTCCACAGACACATGACGGACATGTTCACATTACACAGCTCAAATATCATGTTTACTGGTAACAATTCTAATGCTCATCAATACTTCATTACAATATTTCTTAAGATAATTATCCAGTCAGAATGAGCCTCACACCAGTGTCAGTGCTGAAATCCAGTTGGTTTAAACCTAAAATGCATCTCTCTGATCTAAATGGTCACTACCTAAACCCCAGACCCTGCAGTCAATCAGGAGTCAGTGCTAGTGCAGCCTCTAAAGCTCAGGGAGGGAATTCTGGAGGTTCTGAGCTTTCACGTGAGCCTTGCCAATGAGAATGAGACAAACCTGGATGTGTCTCTGTCTACAGGTGAAGGCTCTGGGGACACAGGTTCAGTTGTAAGTGGAGGACATTAACTGCAACACAAACTTGGAGTTATTCAGACACTACAACACAGGGCTCCAGTGGTGCCTACAAGCACAGAGGGAAAGGAGAAAGAAGAACAGCATGTGCAGAAAGTCCTCTCTGTTTGCGGAGATCCAAAATGGACCTTTAACAAAACCAAGAGAAATAAAAAACAGGACAACAGAGAATCAGAACCCAGGAGAAAGAGGGTAACTATTCCGTACATAGCTGGTGTTTCTGAAAAACTACAGAGGATTTTCAGACAACATGAGATCCCCGTCTATTTCAAACCTACAAACACTTTAAGACAGAAACTGGTCCAACCAAAACATCGAGACACAAACAAAGCAATGTGCTCTACTCCATTCAGTGCAGTGAAGACTGAAGTGAACGCTACATTGGAGAACCTAAACAGCTACTTCACAAGAGGATGAACCAACACAGATGAGAGAACAACACAGGACCTCAGTCTGCTGTTCATCTCCACTTCAAGCGTCATGTCGAGGAAATGTGTAAAGTGACTCGTAAGGAGATCTTTGTGTTGAGATGACTTAAAACAAAGCTGCCACCAAGAAGTAATGATCTTCTGTTACGCATTTCCAAGGCCTATATTAGATCTGGGCTAGAACACTGCTCAGTGTTAATATGTGGTGCAGGAAAGACTCTGATGAACTGTCTCGAAAGTTTGCAACGGCGATGCATGCGCATTATTCTCCATCTGCTGTATTGTGCCCATATAACACCAGAGCACTACACAGCACTTGGACTGACCACACTGCAAACCAGACGCAATTTTGCACTGGCATGTCTTGCATTTAAACTGTACCACAGGCTTTCGCCAGCAGCTCTGGGACGGTACCAGCCCACACAGAAGGTTCTGCCTTATGATGTACGGCGGGTCACCTCTGTGTTTCCTGATGGAACCCTGCCCTGCGCTGCCATCATGCAGAGGTCATGTCTCACTCTGGCCACTAGGAGGCTCAATGTGTTGAATCCTCCTGACCGTGTTTCACACTCTGGAACAATGGGCGAATTGAAGGAGTACCTGAGAGCACAGCTCAGTGACGAGCCCCTTGCAAACTTCCCTTTTGAATGAGAGGGGGATGCAGGGGTTTAGAACAATTTTCCAATGGTCATAAGACCATGGAATTTTTCTTTTGGAGTTGAAATACTCTCGTTTTAATTGTAACTTTGTATTCATTAAAGGAAGGAACCAAAAAAAAAAAAAAAAAAAAGCCACGGGCCACTCAACTCCATCCTCAAACCTAAATCAAAACAAACAAGAGAACAACAGGTGTAGTCAGGTCAGGTCCAGAGGTGTGGAAGCTTCATTATGGACATGAATGATTCTGTTGATACCCTGTACAGGTCAATAGGCCAAACTAACAAACAGAAACTGTAAACAAGTGTGTGTGTTAGTTTCAGTGTAGTTAGCTCCTTCCTGCAGATATAAGGAAGTGTCCACCAGTGTCTGACCAGAACTGAAGAAGCAGCTTGGATGAGCTGAGAAACATCTTCAACCAAACTAACTTTTGTCCAGTCGACAAACTGAATTTTCTCCTCGCCATGTAGGACATTTAAAAAAAAAAAAAAAAAAAAAGTAAAAGTAAAAGCTCATGATACATACTGTTTATAAGACCACATGATGATTATGGGAATCGTTTTGTAGCCTGCAAACTTGAAGAAGGCCTGATAGCTTTTAACCTTTCACAACTAGGCTAGTACAAATAAGATCATTTTACATGTTTCATAGGAATATTGAGAAATTCATGGACACACAGGCTGTAAAACTGATTTCTTTCTGTTTTTTAGTCAAACACTCACATGCACAGGTCTGCACTCTGCGCGCTCTTACGGTTTAATAACAGCTCAACAGCGCCCTCCAGTGACTATTTTGACTTTGAACATAAACAGTGTGCGCATGTGCGGTGAGGATTGTTGCCAGGTCCGCTTTTTTGTATCATTTATTTATATTTGTTTTTTTAAACCCTTTCCTTCAGTTTCATATAAACTTTTTATTGATTGATTTATTTATTTTATTCAGTGTTTGCTCCTACGTAAATGTTTAATATTGTTTAGTCTGTTGACATGCATGCGGTTAGGCTCTACTGTGTTTTTAAACTCCATATATTTTCACTTGAATCATTCAATCATATTTTTCCAGTTATTGTTTTAGCCTTATTGAAACTGCTTCACTTCTCCACTGTTCCAGCAGATGTTAGAGACTTTCTGTGACAACTGACCAAAAGGTAAAATAATAATAATTTAAAAAAAGCTACTACTATGGTTATTCTAGTGTAGTAAATCCGTTCTATTGAGGCTAAAAATAACTATTAACTTTAAAGATCCACATTACACTAATTTGTGATCACTGTTCTAATGTCGTTTCCTCATCACAAACAGATCAGGAGTTGTGTTTTGCTTCATTCACACATGTTTAACACACAAACTCTGCACATTTAGGGTTCTCTCAAATTGAAAACACTCTGCTCCACCTTGTGATGTCATGTGGTAATACAGGAAGTGCTCCACTGTGTTTTTAAACCCCATACACCATCACAAGAGAGTGGAGGATTTCAGCCGTGGAACTGTCACTCTCTACAGAACATGACATTGCAAGGTTGAGCTTTGGAGATGTAGATGGACTAATTATAATGATCTGGCTCAAGTAGTAGTAGTAGTAGTAGTAGTAGTAGTAGTAGTAGTAGTAGTATTTTATTTTCTTCGGTCAATTAACATAATCATACATCATATTACAATGATTTAACACAAAAAAAATGCAGTTAATGCATCATCAATAAGGTTATTCTATCGACTGAAGGGGTTTAGGCTGAAGTTTAACGCTTGTTTTGCCAAACCCAATAAACATAGAACAGGAGACAAGATGCAGAACTATTTACAGAAAACAACACAAAACCTCCTCTTTTATGAGCGCAGGAAAGGAAATGTCCCTAAATCTTTTAGTATACACATACACAATCAGTGTTGGGGAGTAACAGATTACATGTAGCAGAGTTACATGATCAGAGTACAAATTATGAGTAACTGTATTCAGTTACAGTTACTGTTTCAGTGAGTGGTAATTGAATTACAGTTACTTGGTTGAAATAAATGGATTACAGGGCGGTATTTTTTTTTTCACTAAACCAGGTCTAAACCAGGTCTAAACTAGGACTAAACCAGGACTAAACCAGGACTAAAATCAGGACTAAAACCAGGTCTAAACCAGGACTAAACCAAGTCTAAACAAAGTCTAAAACCAGGACTAAAACCAGGTCTAAACCAGGTCCAACCCAGGTCTAAACTAGATCTAAACCAGAACTAAACCAAGTCTAATCCAGGTCTAAAACCAGGTCTAAACCAGGACTAAACCAAGACTAAACCAGGTCTAAAACAGGATTTAACAGGACTAAATCCTGCTGTGTGGACGTGTCTCCTCTTCTTCTATCAATAATATTTTTAATACGGTTCAGTAAAGATTGGGCTTTTTTATTTTCTTTTAGCAGACTTATGTGAAGATATCCTGGTCTTTGCTTCTCTACAGCAAATCAAGTAATCCAAAGTATTGAGATTACATTACTCACTTTAAGTAATTTAATAGATTCTGTTACAAACTACATTTTGGGGTATGTAATCTGTAATCTGTAGGGGATTACATTTTAAAAGTCACCTTCTCAACACTGTTCACAATACAGAACACAATCCAATATACGTTGATGTTCACACACACACACACACACACACACACACACACACACACACACACACACACACACACACACACACACACACACACACACACACACACACACACACACACACACTGACCCTGAACATGTTAATAATTATACCTCTTGGTTTATAAATACACTTAAATATATAAATAGAATTGAAAGTTACAGTTATTCTGTAGGTTCGATGGGGTAAAATATGATTGATTGTATTTCTCTATATTTCTCTAGAATTTTGGTCTTATATGTATATTTTTAAATGTGTAAATTGTTTTAGAGCCTTTTAAAGTTTCATGGAGACTATTCCACAGATTAACAGCTCTGATGGAGAGGTCTCGATGAAACTTTAAAAGTGAAGTTAAAAGTTTAAAAGTCAAGTTAAATTTACATGTATATCAATTTTGTTATTCCTTTGTTTTGGCTTTAAATTGAATATGTATATAACAGAATATAAAAGACAGACAATTAATAAAGGATTACTCAGAATCAGAATTTATTTGTCATTTCAGTTAAAAAAAAAAAAAAATCATAGTGGTAATTGGATTACAGTTACTTTGTTGAAATAAATGGATTACACAGCGGTATTTTCATGTTTTCACATTTTGGGCTATTCCCCCTTTTTTGTTTGTTTGTTTGTTTGTTTTGTTTGGTAATTCCACTCATTGCTGGACCCTAAACCAGGTCTAAACCAGATCTAAACCAGGACTAAAACCAGGTCGAAACCAGGTCTAAAACCAGGTCTAAACTAGGTCTAAATCAGGATTTAACAGGACTAAATCATGATGTGTGGACAGTGTCTCCTCGTCTTCTATCAATAATATTTTTAATTTGGTTCAGTAAAGTCTGGGCTTTTTATTTTCTTTTATCTTTTATTTATTTATGTGAAGATTTCCTGGTCTTTGCTTCTCTACAGCAAATCAAGTAATCCAAAGTATTCAGATTACATTACTCACCTTAAGTAATTCAATGGTTTATGTTACAAACTACATTTTGGAGTATGTAATCTGTAATCTGTAATCTGTAGGGGAATACATTTTAAAAGTAACCTTCCCAACACTGTATATACATAACTTGGGGTGTGTTTTTGATGAGGAAGCTAAATTCTAACATGACTAAAAACTCACATGAGTCAATTTTGCGTAATATAGGAAAAGGACTTTTAAAGAACTCGGTTTTGTGCGGACTTCCTTCTTATTTCTGTCATCAGATCTGGCAACCCCGGGGGCCGTGCACATAGAGGAAGAGCTGAAGTTAGCCTAGCGCCGCGGACACACACGCAGCGCCTCCGATCGCTCTTCTGCTCCACCAAACCAAACTCTTCTCTTCAGTTGATGTTATTTTAGCGACACTTCATTCTCATTACAAGGACTTTGGAGATCGCTTCGCAGAGATGAGCTTCCTTTTGTAAGTACTGATGATTGGAGTTAAAGTTAGCTGCGGTTCAGGGCAGGGGAAGTTCCTCACTGCTCTGTCTCTCTCACGATCACGAAGACGACCAACCTTACCCTTTCACTTCTAAGCGATTTAGTCCATAACGATGCTAAATAATGACGATCCTGCGTGTTTAGGAGTATATTTATCCTCGTTGAGTCGTTTGGAAGTAGCTGTCTTAACTTAACTTTGTGCTAACTTGATAGCCCGCAGTGTTCGCAGTGTTGAGCTGATCAGCCCCGTGTCTCTTCTGATCGCGTTTTGGCTTTGCCCATCAGCGCATCGGGTCCGATCTTGTGTTTTGAGGGATATTTCTTAAGCAGAACAATAGTTAGAGTCTAAAATAAGCACAGAAAAACGAGGAAGTTCGCTGAAACGTACCGCAAAGACACTGACAGCCAATGGGACAGCATCTATATGGGTCAACTGCAGGTCCATTGTTGTTGTCTCTGGACCATCACTTTGCCTTGTTTCAGATGATTTCCAAACACACTGTGGCCATGGAGTCTGTGGTAATGTTGGGTTATGGTGTTTAGGGGTGTGCACAAATATTGAAATATCCATATATCGTATCGTTTATTGTGATGATACAGTATTGATATCAGGGACCGCTGGATTGATATATCACCAAGAGTAATTTTTGGTATATTTTACTAATCTATTTTGTTACAGCGCTACAGTGTTGTTACTTGTTTAGAGGAACTAAAGAGGAAACTCTTTTTTTTTTTTTTGCTCCACATTTGACATTTTCACTGTTTTTTGTTGAGTAAAATGTTTGTGTTTCATATGAACTCTGCACAAGAAGTGGTTTAACAAAGACTTTTAGTATCACAGCCATGATTTAACCTTTATTTTTAATGAATGAATCTATTTGAAATATCTTGATACAGTGCGCTTTCGATTTGATACAATATGTGTATCATATTGACAGTTCTTAGTGCTACCCAGCCCTAACGGTGTGGAATACAGGCAAAGCAGGGGAATGGACTTCGTTGATGTTGTTATTATTAGATAATTATGAAACAATTATGAGATAATTCTGAAATAATTATCTCATAATACAGGTTCCTGTCAGCACCATCTAATGTTATCACATAAAAAGAGAGGGTTGAAGGACTGACTCACACTATTTTCTGATCTATGTTATAATGTTGTTTAAGAAACATACCTGGAGTTCCACTTTGTGATGTCATGTAAAACAGGAAATTCTCCACTGTGTTTTTAAACTCCATACACCTTCACTAGAATCATTTAGATCATTTCAGCCCTGGAATTTTCTGTCTTAACTGAACTAAAGGTAAAAAGGAGCTGTGAACCTGAAAAGTACTGCTTCATGACATCACAAGGTGGAAGAGAGCAGTATGAGCTTTGGAGATGTAGACAGACTCATGTGTTACTCAAAACATGTGTGAATGAAACAAAACACAACTCCAGGTCTGTTTTAATGCCTTAAAGTTTTGTATAATATAGGATCTTTGGTTATGGTAATCCATTTGTTGTAATTACAAATCTTACATACATGTATTATATTATTTCCCAAGACATTACAAAATATATGTAAAGCCACCACAACATTACTCTGCACAATTTTGTTTTGATTAGATTTGACAAAAATTGACAAAAAGACTGAAATTGAAAAAAAGACTGAGAAACTAATACAAGAATCACATTTCAGAGCATGTTTGTACAGAACTAAACTACAGTTAGATGTTTTCATGCTCAATATGACAGGAGGTTTTGTTGTGTACGGAGGAAATGATGGTACTTCAGAAATTGCCGTCTTATTGTGTCCACTCAAATAGATTGCGATTCATCTTGCAGCACTATGGAGTTTGTATTGTTGGTATTGTTGGTGTTGTTGGTCTTGTCATGGCTGTTGGAAACGCAAAGTGGGGGGGTGGACATTGTTGTCACTAGATCTGCACCAGTTAATGATTATTTTAGTACTCAAATAGGCAGCGATTATTTATTCAATTTGCTGACTAGTTAAGTTATTCTTTCTACTGTACAGTTTAATTTTAAAGGTGTCGCACAAATTGACTCTTGTTGAGTTTTGTTTCGTTCACACATGTTTGAAAACGCTCTGTTCCACCTTGTGATGTCGTGAAGCGGTCATTTCCAAATGATTCTAGAGAAGCTGTGTGGAGTTTAAAAACACAGGGGAGCACTTCCTGTATTAGCACATGACATCACAAAGAGTGTTTTCAGTTTGAGAGCAGAACTCAGCCTACATATGCAGAGTTTAAACGTGTGAATGAAACAAAACACGACTCCAGGTCTGTTTTTGATGTGGAAAGGTTCTAACATAGATCAGAAAATGGCGTAATAAGGGTCATTTCAGTACATTTGAATCTACATCTGGGTTGAAATCTGGGCACTGAAGACATTACCATATATATTTATTCATGTAAATGTCTTTTGTAGTATGTATACTCCAATATTTATTTGAAGAGTCGACGAGTCATGATGATCTGATTAGTGGTTGCAGCTCTAGTTGTTACTACTGTTGGAGCTTTATCTGTGACTGTGACATATTTATCCTGGTTCTGTTTTCTATCTTAGTATTAACCATCTTCTGTGGAGATTACGCTTTACTTTCTTTTCCCAGATGTCATAAAATATTGATAAAAACATCTACAGCATACATATGATAATAATGGATCAGTTTGATATAGTGCTTTTTTGGCCACTCAAAGACATAGTGAAGATTTTATTTCTTATTTGGATGCGTTCACATTTCACTCCTGATTTTAGCCCCGTTCAAGTTGTAATGTTGATTTGGTCTTGTCCTGGTCCAGATTTGGTTCTGGTGTGGTCCCAGTTTAGTCCCAAGTCTGACGTGGTGATTTTGCAACTGCAACTTTACTATTAAAAGCAAACAAGAATGACTTTCAGTCTTCATTTCCTGCACGTTATAAATCATGCTGACTTTGAATCAGTGCCACCAGCAGACAAAATAGTCACATTTCTTCCTCCAAAGTCTTCCGTCTGCTTTATGCCACAGTCTTTTACTGACAGAGGACTGGCTGTAGACCTGTCCTTTTAAAAAAAACTGAGCTGATTATGGATGATTTGAAACTACTGCATCTTGATATAAGTAAAACTGCTGTTAATCACACATCTTTTAACTGATGACAACAAATGAGTCTGTTTCTTTATGGATCCATGTCTCTCCTACCACACTGTGTCTGATTGCTGCAGATTAGACATTAACACAGATGGGAGGCATTTGTCACTCCACACAGAGTCCCCCTCACAGTCTGCTCCTCTGTTCTGCTAACTTGCTCTTTGTTTGTCTGTTTGTTTGTGTGTTTGTGTGCAGTGGCAGTCGCTCATCCAAAACCTTCAAACCCAAAAAGAACATCCCAGAGGGCTCGCACCAGTATGAGCTGCTGAAGCACGCTGAGGCCACGCTGGGCAGTGGCAACCTGCGGCAGGCCGTCATGCTGCCCGAGGGGGAGGACCTCAACGAGTGGATCGCTGTCAACAGTAAGGACATAGGACGTACAAGGACATAGGACGTACAAGGACATAGGACGTACAAGGACATGGGACGTACAAGGACATAGGACGTACAAGGACATGGGACGTACAAGGACATGGGACGTACAAGGACATAGGACGTACAAGGACATACGTAGGATATATAAGGACATGGGACGTACAAGGACATAGGACGTATAAGGACATGGGACGTACAAGGACATAGGACGTATAAGGACATGGGATGTACAAGGACATAAGGACATATAGGACATGGATGTATAGGACATGGGACGTATAAGGACATGGGACGTATAAGGACATGGGACGTATAAGGACATGGGACGTACAAGGACATAGGACGTATAAGGACATGGGATGTATAGGGCCAAGAACAGTGTAATGACACCATGGTCTATATTAACCTCTTGGCAGTCTCGTACGTGTAATCTTCTGGGATGGAACCAATGACTGAAACATTCAAACAAATATTTCACATTGATTGGACAAAAATCAAACTTTCGTTAAATCCAGATGAGAGAAAAGTACAGATGAAATAGTCCATATTTCTGCTAAAATAGGCTGAAGTGTGTTTGATGGGGTCACCATGTTTGTTGTGGTTCATTTGGTGCTGGGTTCCACCCTAACCACAGTGCTGTGCTGTGATTGGTCTTGAACCCATCAAAAAACAATATTTCAGATGGAGCCAAACAAGGTGGATTCTCAAGACTTTGTGAACTCACTGGGTCTGTGTACCTGTGTGGAGGATTCTTTGTGTCTGTAAGAAATGACCTAACTAAAAACAGAGCACTGAATTACTGAAGTATCCAAGAATGACGTACATAACCTTTTTAGAAATGATTTTGATGAGGGAACAACGATATAACATGGTAGAAAGCTAAAAAGGTTTAGCAGAATAGCCCTTTTAACAAAGACATATCACATGCATTTGTGTGATAACAATTGAGCTTTTATGAACAGTGTGTATTGTGGAAAAAGAAGATGATATTGTGTTTATACCTGCCCTCTGTAATGTGGTTCCATGGCAGCACTAATGATTCACATAAGTGTTACCATGCATGGACTTGTGAGGCTCTGCTTCAGTCTCATGTCGTCTGTGTGCTAAAGGAGCGCACTATTTGAATGGCTCTTGCATGTCTAAACTCGCTGAGAAATGCTCCAAGAGAGTGCAAATTCAACACAAACTGGACCATTGTCTCTCAAAGCAGCAGTTGTTCACAACAATAGAGGCCTCCTCTGTCATGTGGCCTCACTGGAGAGCCCGCGGTCTGACTGAGCTGTAAAACCTCCACACTTAGAACATGTTACATTCTGGTCCTCAACCACAACACTGAGGGGTGTGGACTGTCTGTGCAGCTCTGCGCTCCTGATGTCATGCACTTACATCTGCTCTCTGCTCTTTAAAGGTCCAGTATTACATAAACATGACTCTTGCTGTTGTTACTTCATCACAAACAGACCTGGACTTATGTTTTATTTCATTCACACATGTTTAAGTAATTCTGTAATAAGTAATCCTGTCTACATCTCCAAAACTCAAACTGCTCGCTTCCACCTTGTGATGTCATGTGTGGCTTTCAAGTAAACAGCACCTTTTACCTTTAGTTCAGTAGAGATTGGCAAAACCAGGGCTGAAATGATCCTAATGATTCTAGTGAAGGTGTATGGAGTTTAAAAACACAGTGGAACACTCCCTGTATTATGACAAGGTGGAGTTTTTATTGATAACAATTCTAATGCTAATTTATTGTTAATTACAAAAACACTGGGCGTGATGTCTCTCTTATTTGTGATAATTCGGTGTTTTGGTTCTCAAGAAGATTATCCAATCACGCTCTGATTCGAGTGGTCACTACTTGAACCTCAGCTCCTGTAGTCAGTCCTGAGTCCGTGCTAGTGCAGCCTCTGCAGCTCAGAGAGGGAATTCTGACAGTTCTGACCTTCACATGAGGCCTGAACATAAACTGAGAATGAGGCAGACTTGGATGTGTGTGTCTATCTGCAGGTGAAGGTTTTGGGGACACGGGTTCAGATGTGATTGTAGGACCTGTTTTAAAACCATATGTGCAGGCCACAAACAGTTTATTTAAGACAAAGGTAGAAATCAAAATGTTTTCAGTGTCATGTTGTCTGTGTGTGTGGAGCGCTCTATTTGAATGGTTCTTGCATGTCTAAACTCGCTGAGAAATGCTCCAATGCTAACTTTGATTAAGACATGAAATTCAAATTAACCAACCATTTAAAATCTTTACAAGACAATGTGATTTTTATCTGTAAGGTACTTCAATTTGTGACACTGTGTTAACATTGAGACAAAAAGACCTACTATTATAAAATGTCCTCCACTACTGTATTCACCTCATTTGTAAATCTAATATGTAAACTCTAATCTAATATATTTAATATGTTAGTGACATTGACACACAACTCACTGTCTTTTACTGCATCTTTTTTTAGAAATGTATACTGTATAAAATGTTAGTAGTATTCTGTATAAAGCCAATAGCATCACTACTTCTGTCCAGTTGTATCTCTAATTGTGCTCTGGCTGGTTACTCTTGGGCACAAAGCCAACTGAATTTGACCTAGTTAAGTTGTGTCTTTTTCATAGTGTTCATTTTGTGAGCGCACAGTGCGTTAGAAGTACTCTGGCCTTGCAGTATAAGTATCTGTGTAACGGTTTTGTGTCGGACGGGGTGTAGTGCTGTTACTCCAGCTGAACTGCAGTGATTCAGGGGAGTCCTGGAGGAGAGGCTGTGGTTCATTTTTTATTAGGAGTGGTTGTAAACGTCAGTGCTACAGAATGGATATGATGATCTTCAAATATAATGGGTTTCGTCATGTGGGAGAATGGGAGTTCATAGGAGGAGCATGGTTGGGGCTTGTAGGGAGGATAGGGAGGCACCATGATGTGTTCCCCAGTCGCTGACAAACAAAAGAGTCAATCTGCATGCTATTCTTCTGCTCGACCCCACAGCCAAACCAGCTCCAGCCAAAAACCTGCCTCATTAAAGTGGAACTAAACCCTAAATGCACTTTTTGCTTCTAATCTGTGTATGTGGAGTTTTAATAGAACTGTCTACTCTTCCTAGTACGGATGGGCATTTGATTAAATTTCATTAATCGATCGTTGGGAGAATTAACAATCGATTATCAATTAATCATTAACGTTTTTATATTAAAATGATCATCATTATTATTACTATCTGCACTACTAATCTGCATAAATAAATTCAACTTTATGACATATAAACCGTAACCACTCTAGAGCCACATCAGTCTGTTGGACATTATCATGTGTTTAATGCAGCTTTGTGCAAGTCTCACAGAAATTATTGTATTATTAATTATATTATAATTTGCATAAACTAAGCGAAGAAAAAAAAAACAGCTCTTGTGGGCTGATGTGGCACGACTCAGTGGAATACAGGTTAGTGTGACCATATTTGTGTTTGTCAAAACCAGGACAGCTTACGGGGGAGGGGGATGGGGCCTTGTCATCCACATTGAGCAACTCTCACCTGACAAAACTTTTTCATGTTTTCTGTGTCCTGGTGAACTTTTTCCCACTGGACACTGAAACATATATGCTGCTTTGTACACTGCACATGTCCTCCCACTTGTCCCGACCGGAATGGAAAGCAGGGAATTTCTTGTACAAGTCATCGTTAAATACACATTTGTGCTTCGGCACATTGCAGACTGACCGACTGCACTCACAAGGACCGAGCAGACATAAACAGAGACCTACATGTACAGACCTCCGTTTGTTCACAGCAACCTACATTCGTTTTGTCGATAAAAAATTAATGTAATCAATGAAACTCTTAATGATCAATTATTGATTAATCGACTAATCATGCCCATCCCTAGTTCTTAGTCCTTTTTTGTCATCTAAGTACATTTGCAGCTAACTGGTCAAAAACTCCTAAATTTTAAGTTTATGCTGACCTGTGCAATTGTCAGTAGTTCAGTTGGTGACATCACAAAAGAGTGTATCAGAAACACCTATCTGCGGGGACAGTTTGAAGTGTGGACACATGTTAGACCAATCACTCTGTTCCTTATACCCCCAGAGCCTTCCCATTCTCCCCTATAGTCCTCCACACCCCACACAAATAAATACCAGCTTGAGCATCCCCCTGGCTTGAAAGTCCCAGCGAGAGCATCCCATTCTCTTGGCAGGAACGTCCCCCTCCTCACGTGTACCTGCTGTGTCCAGGAGAGGAGGGACGCTCTCACCAGCCTTTAGTCGGCCGCTTCACGCACTGTGATGTATTGAGAAAGATGTTTTAGACTGTGATTAATTGAGTTAGAAAAACAGCTTCTATAGGCGAGTTTCATTGTTGACAAAAGCAATAATAATAATAACAATGACGTCAGCTGAAACTCGCCTATATCATAATAAAATGAAATGTGACTGTACCAGACCAAATGTTGGGCCTTTTTTATGTCATTTTTCCGATCTTCCTAAAGCGGCACAAAGTTTTTCAGTTTGTAATCCTCATATACTCGCAGAATTTTACTATGAAATTGTATTTTAAGTATTTTTTATCTTATTCCCCATGTCCAACAGCATCTGTAACTGTTGATTTGGGAAGAAATACAAATTATTTCCTTACCTGCCATGAACATAATTTATAAGCAGCGCAACACAAGAAACTTAGGAAGCTACAGAATGTGTTTGAGACCACATCATTTTTGCATGTTTTATGTTGTATGTATGAACAAATGTGTTGAGCTATATTGAACTTGTGTAATTAATCCAGTATATATAATGAAAAAAAAGTTGTTTTTTAATTTCCCCTCACTCTCCCCTTTAGTCCTCCAGGCCCTGCCCAGGTCAGCAGCTCTATTTGAAATGTGATTGTGGGCGGAGTTTAGGCGTTTAGTCTCACATTAAAGTAAAACATATAGCTAAATAAATGTATAAATATGAACGTTTCTATTTATGGAATGCATGGAACTTAATGCCTCCATCCTCAAAACTGGTCTTTGCCTGCACGTCTGTGTTTTTTCCCTTAACTACATTTTCTTTCATCAGTGAATCATGTTTGCAGTAGAAAAAGAATCAGGGAGCTGCCCAGGTTAAAGGTCCCAAAGCAGATTTTTTTCCCACGTTTCTGAGTAAAATGTGTCTTAGTTTTTGTTGTCTGATAATCAGGAAGGATGTTAGGTTAAACATGTTAGGATGTTAGCCTTGCTGGCACTCTGCACTGGTGCCTGACAGTTCTTCTAAACTCATCACTGTGAATAAGAGAATGTGCTAAGTGTATAAGATAAGCAAAGAATAACTTTGGCCTGCTACAAAAAAAAAAAAAAAAACAGAACTAAAATGGACTAGTTCTGTATTTCCTGTTTGTAAAAATGTGAAAATGAGGTCTATTTAAGTAACTGTAACTGTTCTTGTGAAATTGACCTGCGTTTCCGGGTGCAGCGTTTTTAATTCTTGTACTTGTGTGTTCCAGCTGTGGATTTCTTCAACCAGATCAACATGCTGTACGGCACCATCACAGAGTTCTGCACCGAGACCAGCTGCTCCGTCATGTCTGCGGGACCAAGGTAAGCACACGGGAGTCCGGGCGTCAGACTCCCATATTCTGCTCGTTAAAACATCTATTCATTAGCGTTGTGTTGACTGAAGAGCTGCTGCTGATCTGACATTTTAAAACAACTACTGCTCCCCAACTGTTCCCAGCAGGCGGCACCAGACCAACTATTCTACCATTGACTTCAGCAGCATCGGAGAAACATGGGCAGGTTTTGTTGTGTATTTGGTTGTTCTAGACACTCTGAAAGGGATAAAACAATTCGTTTCTTCACTGTTCCTCTGGAAATGACTCATCAGGATCAAACAAGGGAATTATCGAAAAAAAGACAGGAATTATGACTAGAGATAAACCGCATAAACTGCAAAGAGATTTCCAATGGTCCCATCAAGACACACTCACGTCACTTTCATCAAGGTATTTACTATTTAAATTGTTTCATAGTTTATTTAATGAAAGAAGCATATTTACTGAACAAAGATTTCATAAATTTATCCAGGAAAACCTGCCCTAGTTTACTATTCAACAAACCCACACTGGGCTCCTGTGATCAACATGGTGCACGAGTCGAAGAGTCTGTGAGCCGAACCTCGAAAGAATCGGCCATGAAAAGATCCTCGCGAACGTTAGAAAGATCCACTCACAAAAAGTGATTAATTCTAGAAGACATAGTTGTGGATAAACAAGGCAATGAAGAAAACATCGGTCCTACGACGAGTGACATATTTATATGTGCGCTGGAACATACAGTTTCTACTGCCACTCACACTGCAAATGTTTTGTTATTACATTTTAGTTCAGTAAATGTGCTTCTCTCATTAAATAAGATACGAAACAATTTAAATAGCAAATACCTTGATGAAAGTGACGTGAGTGTGTCTTGATGGTACCATAAGAAATGTCTTTGCGGTTTATGTTCTCTAAACATAATTCCCGTCTTTTTTTTGATAATTCCCTTGTTTGAGCTCCTGATGAGTCATTTCCAGAGGAACAGTGAAGAAACGATTAGTTTTATCCCTTTCAGAGCATCTAGAACAACCAAATACACAACAAAACCTGCCCATGTTTCTCCAATGCTGCTGAAGTCAATGACATAGTGTGCCCGGTGTCATGGTAGGTACTGTTGCCATGGGGACACGTGACGGTGCAAAGCCTCTATTAAAAATGTACATATGTAAAGATTACAGCCAACGTGGCTAATTTCCATCTTCAGTCCCTCGGCAGGTTGTTGTAAAATCATCTACAGGACAAAGAAAAGTACAGCAACAATCACACAAAAGTACACAACACCAGCACACACACTGTACACACAACACACTCACTATACACACAACACACTCACTATACACACAACACACTCACTGTACATACAGTTAGTTTCAAACTGTTAATTTAAAGTTCAAAGTCAAGAGTTTAAGAGTTAAACCAACAACCCCTCAAAATAAAAGAAAATGTAAACTGGTTAAACATGGCGACATATTTGACCATTGAGGAACCACTGTTTTAAAGCTTTAGAAAATGCTGCCAATGTTGAAAGTTCTCATATATGAGTTGCTCTGTTTTCCATGTTTGAGCAGCTCGATAAGCAAAAGAGAGTTTGTCCAAACCCACTTTTCCTAAACGGCACAGAGCAGTCGCCTCTAGAGCTGCTCTTGTGCGATTTGAATTTCTTTTCACAAACTCCTTTAGAGAAGGTGGAGCAAAATGATTAAAAACTTTGTATACCAGAATAATATCGGCATATTTGATCGTCTTGTCCCAGTTTAGGAATTTGTATTTGTCAAGTATTCTGCAGTAGTGATAATTTGTGGGCTTAAGTAATTTTTTATAGATAGTTTCAGCTCATTTAAGAGTAGTTTTGCTTGTCAGAGTCCAACTAGTAATGCAATAATTTAGGCGCAGCAAAATCATTGAATTTAAATACATAATTGCCGAGTTTGTCGTTAGATTATTTCTTATATGACGAAAATTTGATAAAATTCTGAGTGAGTTTATTATAGCAGCCAAAAGAGCCAATCAGCTGAAGTGACCTCAAGGGAAGAAAGAGCTTGATTTGTCATTGCCATTTGTTATTAAAGTTCATATCTTGATTTAGGGACAAAATAGTGAAAGTAAAACACCAGGATCATGTGGAGTGGATTAATATGAATGTTTTAAAACCAAAATAAGGAGTCTGACAGCAGCAGTGACCGAGAGAGGGACCACAGTTTTTCAGTACGAATGATTTGGAGCCAGAGTCGCTGGAGCTGAATCATGGCCTTGCTCGTTTCCAATTTGGAACACGGTGGCCAGCAGATTATCTCTGTCCATTTATATGCAGTTTATGAGTAGAACACTTTTCCCAAACTGTTTTAATAACTTACATCATGTCTGTTTGCCTTTGTCCTGAGCTGTACATTGGATTTGGGTGTACTGACTTTTACCAATGCCAAAACAAACATGTAAAAAGTACAAAGGCGAAACAGTAAAGGCAAAACAAAGCCCTCTATGGGAACTTAAAGGAACAGTACGTAGCCCGCGCTCTCACTGGGTTAGACTGAGACCAGGGGTGGGCAAAGTACGGCCTTTTAATCTTTTTAATTTGACCTGCCGAACTTGAATAATAATAATAATAATAATAATGATTTTCAGTGTTTTAAGTGATTTCAATAAATAGTAAATACCGTGGAACTTGAAAGACAGATATTTTGTTGTAATGTTTTGTAATGATTTTCAGTTATGGGATATTTCAATAATGTAATATTGTAACATGTAATTTTTTTCTCTTATGAGGTGGATTACCAAAAAACACCATCCATCTGCTCCTGGTCCAGCCATTCTGTCAAATTTTAGAACCCTTTGTGGCCCACGAGTCAAAAAGTTTGCCCACCCCTGACTTAGACAGACTTTATTGATCCACAAGGGAAATGACTTGGACACAGTTACTCACACATCACAAAATATTCACAGGATTATGAGAGAGAGATCGATAAACAGACATGCATACATGTGGGGCTACACTCGGAGCTCTGTGGTCACCCGACGGTCTACGTGGGCACATCTACGAGTCCATCTCGACACTCTGAACCGTAACGAAGCCCGGCGCGATCGGGGGTTGCCTGGCCCGGGCTCCCCCCGATCAGTAAATGGGCCAGAACCCAAGAAGCACTTGATTTATTTTTCACAAAGCCATGTAAAATGAGGTTGCCTTGTTGTAGTTTCTTATGTTTAATTTTTGTATTTTATTGATGATTATGATATAATTGTTACATTACACTATTTATTTAGTTTTACCCAAAAAAAAGTAAAATACAAGAACAAGTTAATCTTGGTTGAGCACGTCTTGAGTTAAGTATTTTAAATAAAAACCTAAAAATTTAGTTGGGTTTTTTTGTAACTCATTCCCTGAATGTCAAAGAATCTAAAGGTCAGGTAAAAACTAAACTTTAACATCTATTTTGGTTAATAATTCTCAACATGAAACTTAAAATACAGGTCTTTCTCTAACATCATTTGTATGAGCAAACTGTCCTGGCATCGCTGTCTGATGGGGGGAGGGAGTGCCACACAATGCTACTTGGACTGTGGGAAATGATTTATTAACAAATTAACAAATAAATAAATAATTTAAATTCTAAATAAGTAGCAAAAATAGTAAGAGACTGGTGTCAAATACGGCATCATTTGTTATTAAAAAAGCAATCACATTCAAAACTGAAGCTGTGTTGTCAGAGCCTTAACCTGCCAAAAGAGTTTGAATTGAATTTGAACTTATTTGGAGGATTTGGAGGATGTCTCGCCATCTCGTTTTCGAGGGGGTCTCATAAATACAACAACAAAAGCCAGATACACTAGGGCAGACAGTAGGATACAGAAATTCAAAAAAGCATCAAAACAACAAAATTAGCACAACCACAAACACACACTCATACATGACTGTTTGACATATAATAAAACAAGTTTGAGGGAAAAAGTTCAAAGATAATCACAACAAGATGAACAACAAAATTCAACAAAATGATCAAAAACAATGACATGGGTTCTGTAAATATTGAACCAGAGCATTTTTAAATGAAGCGATAGAAGTTAAAGCTCGAATCGATGAAAGAAGATTGTTCCAATCAGAAGGAACTTTATATTTAAATGAGTGTTTTCCTGTTTGTTTTTTGACTCTTGGGACGACACAAAATATCTTATCAGCGTGATGTAAACTGGAAGAGGATCTGAATGTAATTAAATACTGTTTGAGATATTCAGGAAAACTGAGGTTAATGCATTTAAAGATAAATAATAACAGTTAAGTTGACGTTTCGAGGACAGAGTGAGCAGGAGAGTTAGTGATACATGGTACAGTGGTGAGTTCTGAAGGGACAGTGGAGAATGAACCTGCACAGACTGTTCTAGATAAATGCTGAGTGGTTGAAGAATAGAAGTTGTAGTATTTTGATAAATAATATCACAGTAATCTAAAATGGGAAGAAGTAGTTGTGAGATCATCTTTTTCCTAACAAAACAATTGATGGACTGATAAAGTAATTTTAAGCGATATGGAAATGAGTTTGTAATAGTTTGTGTGTGGGCGCTGAATGAGAGCGACGGGTCAAGCCATGAGCCAAGAGATTTAAATTTATCAACTGCTATAATTGGTGATGAATCAGTAAACATCAAATTTATATCATTAACAGAAAAAGGACAGATTTGTTTCTGAAACAACATAAAATATGATTTAGATTCATTAAGTAGTAGTTTGTTATACTGTAGCCATAATTGAACAGTATTAAAATCATGCTGAATAGAGGACACAGGTTTGTCTTATTGTCAGTCCTGGTTCATGATTGGCTGTAGATGCTGGGGTTGAGGTCGTGACCCTTCAGAACAGACAGTGTTGGGGAGTAACAGATTACATGTACCAGAGTTACGTAATCAGAGTACAAACTAGAAAAGCAGAGAGCGCAGACCTCCGCCAAGGACTACCCCCATTTTTTATATAAATTGCGATAAAATCAGTCTTCTGGATCAGATCCGGATCAGCCT